CAAAACAGCGCATGCGCACGCGTATATATATATATATAATATATATATATATATATATATAATATATATATATATATATATATATATATATATATATATATATATATATATATAGGATATATATCGTATCATGTTATGTTGTCAATCATGTTTGTAAATAATCTAATTATACATGGAGTATCGCCTCCCGTATATCATATTTCACAATGTCAATGTAAATAATTATCTCATTAATTCGCACTGAAGATCGATAGTGGCCTCGGGTCCACAAAACATGATGTTTTCCTCGGCATCTGTCAATAAGTCTTAAGTATTCTAAGATACAAGTACTAGCGTCTTCGACTTCATAACAACTACAGCCCACTATATAAAGGTATTTTATACGTCATGATGACTATCAAACGCGTAGTTTACGAAAGAAATGATTTTATGATCTCATAAATTAGCTTGCATGCATGTATACATGCCTTTATTTAATATTTTGATATAGGTAATCGGAACCATATTGTAGTTCTTATATAGTTGTTAATTTGTTAATTTGTCTGAATTAAACCAACTAGAGAAAAAGGTTAGGACGTTAGGTTTTTGTGGGCAAAAGGGGAACTGTTTATTGTTATTAAGGGGCGTAAAAATAAAGATAACCAGATGGGGTAGTTGGGAAATTGTTGGACAACCGCCAACCATGTGGTGTGTTTGAAATAAATTTTTTTATAAAAATTTATTTGTGTGTGATGAAATTCTTCAAGAAACTATGCTACGTGTATTATTACGTGTGTAGTAATAGGTTGTGTACTGTTGTTGGTGATGTTCGAAGTTATGCAAGGAGGTAAGTAAAAAAAGGAAACAGAAGACAAGATAGTCAAGCGTGCGAATCAGTATCCCCGTACGCGGCGTTTCGTCCTTTTGCGGACTCGTCAGCGGGGAGCATGGTTGTCTTTGTGTAATAGAAACATGTTTATTTTATATTTTGATATTTTGATTTTGTGGGAAGTAAACACTAGCTTTATGTTGGTCTCACTGCAAAATCGTTTGGCAATGTTTGAGGAGTTTCTGTTCGGTAATTTGAGAGTAATGTCCTATATGTATGGGAGTTTGAAGGGATGAACGTCGGGTTGTTGTTGACTAGGTAGATTGGTGTTGAGAGTAATTGGTGTTGAGAGTATTCCAGCATTAAAGTAAAAGGTCCAACGGTCCAACCAGATGTTGCGGGAACGAATTGCGTTTAAGTGTGTTAGTATAAGTTCTTTAAGATCGTTGTTGAGGCCAGTGGCGTATAGCCAGCCTGACGATTTAGTCATGCTATGCAAATTTGAAATTTCATGTTATTATCATTATTCAATGAACACCAAAATATTAGCGTAACACGACTAAATTGTCAGGCTGGCTACGCCACTGGTTGAGGCCATCTTCGGTGTTATTAATTTTGTAAATGCGATCTATAAGTGTTTTAATGAGACCCAATTTATACCGAAACGACATACGGCTAAAATAGTTGGTCAAAAGGCCGGTGTAAGTTTTCTTGTGATAAACGGAGGTCGAAACGTAGTGGGAGATTTCCCAATAAGTATATCAAGGAAAGAAATTTTGTTATCTTGCTCCGTTTCGAAACCTAATATTCTTATGGCAATCGAAAAATAGTTTAGCGTCAATCATTTTCAAACATGCAAAACGTGTCATCAACATAATGTTGGTAGAAAAAAGTACGCTATAGTGAGAAAACTGAAAAGTACGCTATAGTGAGAAGGCCACTTGTTGATCAGTTGAATTACTCTTTCGTGCAATTAACCCTCGTGAAACCCTTGATTTGAATATACAATATACACATGAATATACACATTTGAATATACACATGAACAACCGCCTTAAAGCATTCACTGCACTTTGAAAGAACTATTGCCCTCAACATCATTTGGATCCACTGTTTTCCCGAGACACGAATCAATCTAGTTCTATAAGAATGAAAGTTCTTTCAAACTCACCTGTTGTCTCTTGAAATTTAAAGCCTCTGGTTCATTACAAGCAAGCCTTCGAGCTGGATTCCTGGTATAAAATTTTGTTAGGCTTGTTACACTTTGCGTGCAGAAAAACTAATAACCACAAAGGGAGCGAGCACACAATAAAACACGCAAGCTGGCGCAGCGCACCCCGACAGGAACACCTAACTTCCGAATCACGACGCTTGGTTTCCTCAGGCTGCAACAAAGCTTGGATCTTCAATGCAGCAATCAATGAACTCAGATTGTATATTAAAAGTGTTAGAGACCTGCGCGTGCGTTTATTTGTGAACAAAATACTCACAACAGTCTCTAAACCTTAACTTTGGTTATTGAATAACCTCATAAATATTTAAGCCAATTAAGGCCTAACTGTCATTAGTACGAAAGCCGGGTAGGGACTTTAGACTTTGGACTTCAGACTTTAGATGTACGATTATTTCATTAAATTGTTTCAGAATTATCAGTTTATAATTATAAAATAAACAGGGGCCGGTTGTAATTAACTTTTAACTTTAGTTAGGCCTAAGTTACACGACGGATTTTAGTCGCGTCGGATGCAATTCGAACGGTAGATAATGAGATGATATTCATGATAATGAAGCTTAATGAGGTTTATAATCTCTTAGTCATTCGACGCGACTAAAATCCGATGTATAAAGGCCTTAAGCCCGGCGCACACTAGAGCTATGTGCTTAGCAAAAAGTTATTCGTGGCCACTGGCGTAAGTGTTTGTTTTTGCAATCTGTTCGCCATCTTGGATGTTTACTTTCGTATATTACGCATGCGCTGTTAAGACTATCCATAAACAGATAGCTTTCATTTTGCCGCACACGGAAAGATTTTGGCACGCGAGGCAGAAATTATCAAACATGCTAGATTTTTGCCGTAAGTGGCACGAATGACCAAAGTCGCCTGAAAAGTCGCCCGCACACGAGAGCAACTGGCTTACGCCAATGGCCACGAATGACTTTTTGCTAAGCACATAGCTCTAGTGTGCGCCGGCCTTTAGAAGCAGAATTGGCCAAACAGGGACCGGTTGTATAAAACTCTTTAACTGCATTTTCATAGTTTAATCCTAGCTAAAAAACTCGGACATACACGACTCTGCAGTAACGAGCGGAGTTTATACTTCACGCACACAACGTGGTCTAGATCCAACTCTCTTATTCAATATTTTACATTTGGTATTTATACTCTCGTTCTATAAAGCGTGTACACTTCGGCAACTTACTGTTCCTTATTCTATTAGTATTAGTCTATATTTACACTAATCATTATCCGATATCGGGCGTACTACAGTTAAAAGTTAGTGTTTTATGCAACTGGCCCCAGAATAATAATGGTTTGTGTTATATTACTTAAGAATTAAAAAACGAGTCGCGTGCGTTTATGGTGTAATAATGCACGATGGGGGAATGTTGGGAGAATACGAGAGAAGCTTGTAAAACACGAGGCGTAGCCGAGTGTTTTACAAGCTTCTCGAGTAATCTTCCAACATTTCCCCGAGTGCATTATTACACCATAAAGGCACACGACGAGCTTTTTTAATTCTTTTATAATATAAGAAGAAATTATAGGGCAACAACAAAATTTATTTATTTGATCAATAATGAAATTCTCCTTACATGTTATTTAAGATGTTGCCTAGCAACAAAAACTTCAAAAGCCAGAAGCGTGCATTATGGCCTCACAATGCACGCGCGGTAGCCAATCAAATTGCTCGTTATATCATACTTATATTATAATACAATTTAACTACATCAAATTCAAATTAAAGGCCTGCAACGCATGTCGTCATTGTATTTCAAATACTTCAATTTATGAAAGTTGTTAAATCGCAAACTCTGATTGGCTTGTTTAGAATTGCAAACGTCCGCTAGCTAATTAAATAGATTTTACGGTTTTTACCGTTGTTTCATTGTAGTTATTTTATTAAACAAATACTAAATACAAATGTAGCACATTTGCGCCATTTGGATGAATTAAGGACTGTCATTATAAGCCAACCTCAAAGCCGCATTTATATCAAGCACATTATATGATACAAGCACAACCGCAAGACTTGAAAACAACTTAAATAAAAAGTGTATGTTTATCGAGAGTTTGCGAATCCTATAGGCAGTATGCAATTAGCAATTTACTCGACAAACATCATCATCGGAAAAATCTTCGGCAAATTTCTGAGTTGGCTAGGAAAACTACGCTTATTTTTTTCTTTGTTGAGTTGGCTTTACAGTATCAATATTTCCGTGTTTCACAAAACCCATATTCCCCTGTCATATCACATCTCTTCGTTCCTGACGTCCACTACGTGTTAGAACGTACAACGCATTACTTTCTACAAGATCACTACTGAAATATCTCGTGTAAGAATATCGACGACAGTAGACAAAACAGGACAGATCAATACTTATAGACATTCTTTGCATGGCTACTATAAATGAAACCCGTCTTGATGATACTATAATTAAGCGATTCAGAAATTAGGTTCCATTGATAAATACGACATCGGTCGTCAGAAAAGACTGATGCAGACAAGGAGGAGGAGTAGCTATGACTAACATGCAAAGTTTAATTGGGCCTATGCCATATAGATATGAAGAATTTGAATTTCTCTGCGTTCAAGTCTCCAAGCAAAACGCCCAAGCCCTTTATTTTTGTTTTTACATGGCACAGACCTCATCGCTTTCATTCAGGCTTTTGAAAAAGATCATGAAATCTATATTAGCCGAGGTTAAATCTCTGGGATTTGAAAACAATATACAACTAGCACTTGGAGTAAAATCAAATGCAGCTAAAAGTACTCCACTTTGGTATGTATCCAAATATTTACTCCACATGCATGCATATGGAGTAAAATAAACCCCGCGAAGAATTAAAAGTAACTCAACAAATTAGCTATTGAAACAAAGGAGTAATTCCTACTCCATTAACTTTACTTCAGGAGTAATTTTAAACCGGCTCCATAACCATGCAGAAACAAAAAATATTTAACTTAACGACCTCCTACACTGCTACACCTTTATCATGTGGGCGCAGACCAGACGGCGATAAATAAAAGTAATCATTTTATTTACTTATTCATTATTGCGAGTGATTATTGATCATGCATAACATTATGGTGGGGCCAGGTTAGATAAAAACGGACCAAACTTACGACAATGAGGAAAAAAACCACTAGATGCTATAAAGAAAAGAATAAACTACAGCAAATAAGACGGGGTATATCATGACGAAAGCACAAAAGAAATATCGCCTGAAAGCTTTGCTCTTACTTTCAGCCTTGTGTTAGGCTGTGTGCACACGAGCGTCACCTTTCGAGCGTTCACAAAATTGTTTTTTTCCAGCTAACAGGTACATATAATCGTTAAATTTAATCGCCCACATTTCGATACTTGAAGTGTTAATAATTAATATTTCCTTATACCTATATATTCACGCTTTCGAGCAATCACTTTGAACGGTTTAGGTGGAAATTTTCCTGCCGCTTCCCCACGTTCCAACGTCGGCATGGGCTCATCTTCATTTACCTCAAACTTATATCGCTTCAACATCCCCGATATGAAGAACATTATCTCTGCCCTGGCTAAATTTTCGCCAGGGCATGATCTGCTACCAATACCAAAAGGCATAAATCCTGGCTTCACACGCCATCCAACGAACTTCCCATTTTCATCGATGAATCTGTCGGGGTTGAACACTGAAGGATTCTTCCAAACATTTTCATCTCTATGAATGCAGTGGTAATTGAAGAAAATGGTTGTTTCTTTTGGAATGCGATAGCCTTGCAGTTGTGTTTCTATCACCGGGTTATGAGGAAGAGACAGAGGAACAAAATACGAATGTCGCATCACTTCACAAACAGTCGCTTTCAAATACGGAAGCTTAGACATATCTTTCCACTGGAGCAGTTCATTCCCCTGCAAGGTTTCCTCGATTTCGTCTTGAAGCTTTTTCTGCAAATCTTGATCAAGTATCATATATAGAAGGAACCAAACAAAAAGCGTGGAAAGTGCACCAGTTGCGGCTAGCATACCACCGGCCGATACAAAGGGAACGCAGTCTGTTTCCACTTTAAGATGTTCGCACCAAGCCATTAAAGATTCCATGACATTTTGATATTCTTCCTCGTCAAAATCATTTGGATTTTTTCTAGACCGAAGATGAAAAGCTTTCGCTTTCTCTTCCGCTGCCGGTATAAAAAGTTTTCGTAATTCATCTTGTAAATTGCTGATACTTTTTATATGTTTGGTAGGAAATGCTTTAATACTGGAATAAGACGATATAAAGGACCGGAAAATAAGCAGGAGAAAAATGCTGGGTTAAAAGCGCGCAATTTGCCAACAGTACCATCTTCTATGTTATTTGTCTTACCAGTTATCCAACGATAAAGTATAGAGATTATAGAACTCTCCAAAATATCTGAAGGGTCAAAAGGCTGCCCGTTCAAGCTTTCCACCGCCTTAGAGAATTCATCCAGTTGGTCGTTTACATTTTCATGTATAATCTTTTTCCCCTCTCCAAAAGTATGCAAAGCCTTTACAAATGCTTGACGCTTAAGTCGAAATTTATTATCCCAATCACTTGTCGCAAGATCTTTTTCTTGTAATATTTCGTTTATTGGGTACACCACATCTGCAAGACGACCTTGAAAAGTATCCTTATTTGTGAGGAGAGCTTCTCGTGCAGTTGCTGCATCGGTTACCATTACGACGTTTTCTGTAGGAAGAACAAGTGTAAAAGTGTTTCCATATTTCTCACGAAGCTTTTCGGCTGAGAACGGAAAATCATCGTCCAATATCAAAAGAAGATTTCCAATGATGGGAAGTGGAAATGGACCTGGAGGCATACCACGTCTACTGTAGCAGGTCTTCAGGAACCATGTAAATAATATGATCAAAATGGAACCAACAACTTCTAAAAACATCTTCCTACATTGTGAAAGTGAAAAAGCAATTTTGTCAACTTAAAAAAGCGAAAGGGGGTTTCACATACGGGAGCAAAAAAGAAGAATTTCTTCACAAGTTTTTCGACTTGCTGTTTTGCAAGTTGGGCATTTCTTGTTCAAAAACTCAGCACAATAAGAAAATAATTTCAGCCCAAAGCTTAAATTTCTTGATTTTTTGCCACTGGTAAAGTGGTTATATGTGAAAATTCGCTAAGACAAATCGGGATGCAAAAAAAAATTTTAGATGTGAAGTCAACAAGCTCCAATAATATTTTTAGCAATGTTTTAGATACTTATAGCATCGAGGCAATCAAGCGAATGCGTGAAGGAAGGAATCAAAGGCGTTTTTGAGTATTTGTTTGTCTCAGGTGAAGCATGACCTCAAAAAAAAACAATTCGAAAACCTCGAAGTGGGGAACTGAATATGCATGGTTAAGAACGTGACGGGAAATCATTAATTTCACAAGCAACGCGTTATAAAATCTGTTGGGGAGTTAAAGTTTGTGTTTATGTTTGAAGATTGGCGAAGTGGACCAGGAACGTAGTTAAACTCTTGTGGCGATAGTTTTTTAAATTGACTGCATGCATGCGTAATAGTTTTGGTATAATTTATATGTGCCTGTTTCATGGTTCAATACTCCCGCCTACGTAGCAGCAGTCATGAATCAAATCTATTGCTTTGCTCGCTCCATGGTGTAGCAATTGGATATCGCGTATCAGACATGGGGTAGCGATAATAGGGTGTCTGACCTCGCTTTTATCGACTATAAGCAGGCATTCGACTTGGTCGATCTTGAAGGATTTTTAATACGCAATGCTGACCATCAAAACGTGTAGTTTAGGACGTATAGTAAAAGAAACTTTGTTTAGTGTGCCTCGGTACAATCGCGTTAAGGAGGGGGGACGAACATTTCAAATTACCATTGAAAACTTTGAAACTCTCTTCAATTTTAGCTTAAAATGGCCGAGCGATACTTATAAAAAATCGATCATTTCACTGTGAGATGATTTTATGATCTCATAAATTAGCTGGCATACATGTATTTATAATTTTTGTATTTAGGATTATATATATTTTACCCTCGTGAGAGGGACACTTGTTGATCAGTTGAATTATCTAATACGTATACTGTTCATGGTGCAATCAACCCTCGTGAAATAAAGTTGACTTGATTTGAAAACACAGATGATATTTACCAAACGTAAGTTGGAACATGGAACCATGCACCGTCTCTAAGCATTCACTGCACTTTTAAAGAACGATTGCCCTCAACTTTGGATCCACTATTTTCCGAATTGATTTAGCTGTATAAGAATAAAAGCTCTTCCAAACTTACCTGTAAAAATTTAAAGCCTTTGGTTCATTACAAACGGGCCTTCGAGCTGGATTCCTATACCTTTTAGCTCTGAACACACACTAATGACATTATGTAAATATTTCGCTAGCGGGTGCATCATTCCCCCACGTGCGCGGGCAGACACCAAATTCCGGCATGACAGGCTAATACGCATATAGAAATTCGCATAAAATTACGTTATGTTACTGCAGCTACTTTCACCGTTGCACGAAAACGAACGAATTTTGCAGGAATGTTTATTATATTCTTCGAAATTTGAATTTGATGCTTTGCCATGCAAATGTTAACGGGGAAAGGCGGAAAGAACTGTGGACAAGTATACCAACAACGCCCAAAAAAATATTATGTCCCCAAAAACCCCCTAACTATTGAAATCACCTATTGTTAAAATTTGAATGACTTGTTCGCGAATTTTTGCCTGTGGGGATTAACGCAACTTATAAAACGCCTACAAAAATTTAAAATTTACTAGAGAAGAAGGTCATGGTGCGAAAGTTGTAAATTTAAATATTGTTATTTGTAAAGATTAAAATAATATATTAATTGTTAATAAAAATCATTTGTGGATACAAACAAATTTTACTGTCATCACGCATAAAAATGCTTATGCCGTCAAACATTTATAATTATGTAATATATGTAATACACTGGCGGTCAAAAAGAACTGCTCAAATGTTGCTATTGTCGTATGTAACAGGAATCGTAACAATCAATCTTTTATTGTACACTATACACTAGCGGTCAAAAAGAACTGCATGTTTAGATACAAATTCATAAAGAATATAGGAGAGAGCTTCATAGGAATTTTTGATAATTCTCTTATTCCAAGCGATATTTCAGTAATGTAATGCAACCTGCCACACTTCCAAGATGATCAAACAATGGTTTCATGCATAGGAAGAGGGAGTGACAGAAATGGTTGGTCTGCACAGTCAAAATACCTCAACCCTATTGAAAATCCGTGGGACAATGTCAAGGGGATAATGCAAGAAAGGAATTAATTCATAAAGCGTCCATTATTATGGGTTGCTGTAAAGACCGTCCATAGGATGAATTTCTTTTGACCGCTCAAGTATGGCACGCCGGTGTAAGGCCGTCATCAATTATAAGGCCAAAGGAGGGTCAACAAAATATTAATATTTCATATAGCTTAGCATGTAATCTATAGTCTATATTTACTCGTATATATTGTTAGAGAGACAGTTACATTCATTTGAGAGCATTTTAACTTGTTTTGAGCAGTTCTTTTTGACCGCCAGCGTATAAACATTCATATTTTTCCTCGTCAGTCATTATTTAAGATTTTGAGGCACTTGCATGCCTAAGCGTGCCAAGCGCCTGATCTGTTGACCTTATTAGTACTATATTCAAAATGGTCGCTATTCTGCTAACGCATGGCGAGAAATTTTGGACACGCACAGGGGGGTTCTAATTTATTCTAACGATTAAATTGTTCTAATTTATTCTAACGAATCACAAGTGAAATACACACGATATATCACATTCTAAATACCCTAAAATGCGACAAAAAAAGTTCGAATATGCCTTAAAACCATAGCAACAAGTCAAGGCTTGGTTGCCTAGCAAATATGGACGATGAAAAACAATTTCAGTTATTTTTTGAAGAGTTTTTTGGGGAAAAAGGTCAGTTTTTATGAAAATATAACGTTGAAATTTGCTGATTTTGAAGCTAAAAACCGCAAGAGATATATATTCTTCACATTTTTGCACTGATGGGTGTTCAAAATCATCGCTCAGAGTTTAGAAAGCCGATAGAACATTTTGGTTATCGTGGCCCGATCGCGCGAAAATCTTACAAGTTCAACGGTCAAAACAACTTTCGACGCTATAAATGGTGTTTTTCTATACTTTAATAGCCGTTAGCTATTTTCTGCAAAACCGCAAGAAGTATTAACATCTAAATATCATCCATGATATCAAAATATCAAGTTTTACGTCTAAAAACAGAATCAGATAGAACATTTTCACATTTTTAAAAAGTTTAGAGGTAAGGCCACATTTTTAATATAACCCTAATAAAGCCGTGTGATTTCGCGTGGCCATATTGTTTCGAATCTCCCGAAGTCTGTGTATCTACCGCGCGTGCGTGTCCAAAATTTCTCGCCATGTTGTCATTGCCATTTTAGTGAAATGTACGAACGCGTGTGGTGTATCAACGCATATCTCCATTGCAAACCAAGCTCTGGAGTCGTTCGCCAATACTGGAGAATACAACGTTAGTTATCGAGAAATCATTTTAAAAACAACTAGATGCCATGTATAATCCAAGCGCTTGCTTGGTGTCGTTCCATGATATACCGAGGATACTCACTGGACACCATTTCTTAACGTAACTACAAACTATATTAGAAAACAATACCCGCAACCATAGAGTAAGGTAAAGACTATATATGTAGGGAAGAAGAAATGAGGAGCGGCAAGGCAGAAGAAATGCAGAAGAAATGTGGAGCAGAAGAAATGTGGAGCGGCAAGGCCAAAATTTTAGCAATACACATCTGAAATTACAGTTTTTATATTGCTGGAGAAAAGACAAAATCACCGCCATAATACGCAAATCAGCCTTACGTACACGAGACAAACCATATTGAACACGTTTTTATTTCTTTTCTTCATGATTTAATTGTCGATTATTATCATAATTAACACTTTACCTTTTTTCACGCGATTTATTCACCTCCACTGGTTGTATCTAATTATAATTATATTTTCTATAAATCTAATTATCACACTATGTATTCCATTTCTTTCCGTTCTAGAAAGAAAATCTTACGAACCTTAAACCGCTGACAATAAATTTCACGAGAACAAATTAAATCCTCTGTAAACAAATACACCAAGATACAAACATAATTAATGTTTCCTTAATTCATTCGCGCTTTCGAGCAATCACTTTGAACGGTTTAGGTGGAAATTTTCCCGCCGCTTTACCACGTTCCAATGTCGGCATGGGATCATCTTCATTAACCTCAAACTTATATCGCTTCAGTATCCCCGATATGAAGAACATTATCTCTGCTCTGGATAAATTTTCGCCAGGGCATGATCTGCTACCAATACCAAAAGGCATAAATCCTGGCTTCACACGCCATCCAACGAACTTCCCATTTTCATCGATGAATCTGTCTGGGTTGAACACTGAAGGATTCTTCCAAACATTTTCATCTCTATGAATGCAGTGGTAATTGAAGAAAATGGTTGTTTCTTTTGGAATGCGATAGCCTTGCAGTTGTGTTTCTATCACCGGGTTATGAGGAAGAGACAAAGGAACAAAATACGAATGTCGCATCACTTCACAAACAGTCGCTTGCAAGTACGGAAGCTTAGACATATCTTTCCACTGGAGCACTTCATCCCCCAGCAAAACTTCGTCGATTTCGTTTTGAAGCTTTTTCTGCAAATCTTGATCAAGTATGATATATAGTAAGAACCAAACAAAAAATGTAGAAATTGTATCAGACCCGGCAAGGATGACATTGGCCGATAGAAAGGGAACACAGTCCGTTTCCACTTTAAGATGTGTGCACCAAGCGATTAGAGCTTCCATGATATTTTGATATTCTTTCTCTTCAAAATTATTTTGATTTTTTCTTGACCGAACAGAAAAAACTTCTGCTTTCTCTTCCGCTGCTGTTATAAAGAGTTTTCGTAATTCATCTTTTAAATTGTTCATACCTTTTATATGTTTGGTAGGAAAGTGCTTTAATACTGGAATAAGACGATATAAAGGACCGGAATATAAGCAGGAGAAAAATGCTTTGATAAAAGCACTTAATTTGCTAGCAGTACCATCTTTTAAGTTATTTGTCTTGCCAGTTATCCAACGATAAAGTATAGAGATTATAGAACTCTCGAAAATATCTAAAGGGTCAAAAGGCTGGCAGTTCAAGCTTTCAACCGCCTTGGAGAATTCATCCAGCTGGTCGTTTACATTCTCATGTACGATCTTTTTCCCCTCTCCAAAGGTATGCAAAGCCATTACCAATGCTTTACGCCTAAGTCGAAATTTATCATTCAAATCGCTTGTCGCAAGATCTTTTTCTTGTAATATTTCGTTTATTGGGTACACCGCATCCGGAATGCGACCTTGAAAAGTATCCTTTTTTGTGAGGAGAGCTTCTCGTGCAGTTGCTGCATCAGTTACCATTACAACGTTTTCTGTAGGAAGAACAAGTGTAAAAGTGTTTCCATATTTCTCACGAAACTTTTCGGCTGAGAACGGAAGATCATCGTCCAATATCAAATGAAGATTTCCAATGATGGGAAGTGGAAATGGACCTGGAGGCATACCACGTCTATTGTAGCAGGTCTTCAGGAACCATGTAAATAATATGATCAAAATGGAACCAACAACTTCTAAAAACATCTTCCTACATTAAGTGAAAAATCATAGCATCGAGGCAATCAAGCGAATGAGTGAAGAAGGCGTTGCTGACTAGATTAAATATTTGTTTGCCTCAGAGGGAAGCATGGCCTCTTGTAGCAAAAAGAGGAGATTTAATTCGAGATACTCAAAGTGTGGACTGTGGAACGACAGAAATTCTAGCCAGACATTATAATAATCGTTGGGGCCTTTGAAGATTGGCAAAGTGCACGAGACAATGGACTTGGATCTTCTGAATTGCAAAATTTGAACACATGCAGATTTGTGTCGATGGCGGTATACGAACGTTCAACCTCTGCATGGCGATTGTTTTTTATTCTGGACTCATACCGACATTATCTTCATTTTATATTATATCAATTAGCTAGGCATTTAGCTGAAAGTATATACTTGGCATTTAGTTGCAATATCTATTGAAAGTTCAAGTGGCCAAAAAACTAATTTAGCAAACACTATAGCCCGTTTTCCACAAGGCGATGTTATTCGCGCGTGGCGATTTTATTCGCGCGACGCGAAGCGATATCTGAAATCCGGTGATGTGATTGGTTTGCGAAAAACTTCGCCGCAAAAAGTAGATACGTTTGAAAATGTCAATGAAATTTCAGGCGTCTTGAAAATGGCGTGGAGTGGGCGATTTTACTTCTATAGTTTAGTCTATTGGACAGTAGACGTACTCATGTTGTTTGTCTGCGATGAGAAATCGCCATGCTCTTTGACGCTTCACAAATTTCCAAACAATCGTCTTATTTTACATGATATTTATCAAACCGTATCAAGTAGCAACATGGAACCACCGTCTCTAAGCATTTGCTGCACTTTGAAAGAACTATTGCCCTCAACTTTGGATCCACTATTTTCCCGAATCAATCTGTATAAGAATGAAAGTTCTTCCCAACCCACCTGTTGAAATTTAAAGCCTCTGGTTCATCACACACGAGCCTTCGAGCTGGATTCCTATACCTTTCAGCTGTGACTGACACAGACTAGTGCTGGATTTGCACTGGCAGAGAAATCGCTTGCGAAATTAAAAGAAAATATGCAAATATTTCCCTAACGAAGCACTCGGCAAGTGGAAATCAAAGGGCGCGGTTCCCATTAGATAACTTTCACCACAGTTAATAGAATATACATGTTTTAGAGACTACATAAAAGTACAATAGAACTCATGAACTATGTCGGGAAACATTTATGCAAAAAATTGTTTCTTATTCATTTCTGTGTCTATTGTATTTTGAACAAATAAACCAATAGCTATTGGTATTAGTTAGTACGGTGGGAAAATAAGCCATTGCTATTGGTTAGTACGGTGGGAATCAAACCCGCCACCTTTGGTTTGCAAGTCCAACGGAATAAACTATTGTGTACCGAATCACAGCAAACAATATGAATTAAAACTCTCAGTACTGGCAATACATGCATTTGGCATATTACTAGCCTGCATGGGCTAGCAAATTACATGAATTAATTATCTTTGCAGCTGCTCATGTTGCCAGGCCAGTACACGCGCGACTATTGTTGGTTGACGTTACCACTTATCTATGGTTAACCTTAACTACAGTAGCTATAACTTATTTTAATACTGGCCCTATGAACGTATTTACCACTTATACTAGAAATGCATAGAGATTTGATCTTGCAAATGATGATTGAATGACTAAATGACTATTTTCCACATATAAAACGTGCCTCTGCGACGACAAGTTTAAAGCAATTGATTTGTTAGACAGGGAAGAACTTCATGAGTAATATAGGAAAAATGGTCCACCGCGGGATATTATAATCAGCGATGTTTTGCAAGATGATTGCTTTAACGATATAGCTGTACACTTGTACTGTACAAGTCTTAGAGTTAAATATATATGCACCCTAGCTGTCATTATTACGCATCTTTGCGCTCAACTTATATATATAGTGCTGGGGATAAAAAGTCTAACAATAGGCTTTTTTAATCATTCTGAATTCTTATAAGAGCCTGTACTTATTTTTGAAACAAAAAAATCACGTATTTATCGATTGGCTATGCATATCCATGCTTGTACAGTTGTCGTTCCTAAACTCGACGCGCACAAAAGCTATCACCTTTTGTCAATAAGGCTTTATGTTTAAACATGCATTTTCGTATTCAAGTCACATAGTCACTATCAGACAAAAACAGACGAGATACCATAATAGGGTTTAGAACAGCTCATTTGAACATCACGTCTATTCTTTAATACATCGATCAATAATCAATAAAGGACTATATATATATATATATATATATATATATATATAAATATATATATATATATATATATATATATATATATATATATATATATATATATATATATATATCACCTATATATACATGTACAGGGGGCGCTTTCCATTTAAGCAGAAAATTCAAGTTTGCGTTTTCGGAATGCCCAGTGTCATAATAGAACGCTCAAGCCTAGCAAGTCTGAAAGCATTCATTGTTGAACTTTGTGAGGCGTCAAAAGAACTACCTGTAGCACTAGCTCATATTAAATTTTTTTTAAATAAATAATCATTAGACTTTTAAAAAAATATCTAAACGTAAAAGATCTCTAAATGGTGAAAAAATTTCATTGAAAAGTTATTGTGCATTGACTTTGCCTGCATGAAAATGTAAACAAATCATGCCGATTAGTTTAAAACCCTCCTTGTTTTTGAAATTCCTGCTTGTTACGTGCAAGAAAACTTAAATAATGGAAGCGTTCCCGATAAACAAAACTAAGTTTAAGTTTCATATATTGGTAACGAACTAAGTACTCTAAATAAATTTCTCCGTATATAACTATAAATTTAACTCACTTTGGTTTACACGCACACCGAAGACAAGTTAGACAACGATATGACTTGAAGTAGATTATTTGCGCCAGCAGCGTCCAACCAAAATAAGCAAATTGAATAGCTACGCCAGTAGCATGCAGTTGTTGTCCCCCAGTAACGTCTGCGTTTTAACAGAAGGTGTTTGTGTTACTTGACAGAGTTTTATGCAGTACGGTATTTTTCATTTTTTTTAAATTAGTTAACCAAGTGCCTGATATAACATGGCACAGTCTGATATCGCATGGCACAGTCTGGATATAGACCAAGGTTTCTTACAAACAAAATTCAAATTAGCCCAAATACATAAAGTGGTCTTATAAAAAAAAGAATTAGAAATTAATTTTCAAGAAATTGAGAAATTGACTTCTGAAATATCACGTTATGAAACCTCGATATATAAGTCTTACTTTGAAAGTGAAACTTAATACAGATGTTATACAATACAATACAACACATGCACCATATATAAATATACCAAATATGTGTTTAGAATCATATATGAGTAGAGTGCTCGATATACCAAAGTATAGAGATAATAAGACGATATAAAATACAATAAACTTGGTTTACTTCATATGATTTTATTCACTACAAATTTGTTTCGTATATAACAAGCAGTGCTTGCCACACTCATCAGGTGAACTTGATGTCGCGCTATATAGTTGCCATGGTTATATATAATTATACTATTTACATATTTGACGAAAAACGGATTGCATATATATATATATACATACGTATTGTATTAGGATACATTACTTAAGAGAAATTTATTTCTATGTCTGCATATAGTACACACATTTACCACGCTCGCTTTTATTTATACCTATATATAGCTATCTAAGGCTCCCTTTACCCTAGCCTGCATGGCAGGCGGTCCCTGAAATCGGGCGAGGCGAGGACACTGATGGCGAGGACAGCAAAAGACCGCCTGCCGGGTTTGGCTATGTTTTTTGTCAACCGCCCCTTTTCTGTCTGGGAACAATTAGCCAATCAACAAACAGCTAATATATTAATAGCAAAACTGTGTTATTGAGTAACTAGGATTATTATATATTCCGGTTATTTATTCAACTCTGTTCCTCGAAACAATCGCTCAAAATGTAGTAGGAAAAATGAAATTTCAATTTATATAAATATGTCAAAAGAAACGCCAAAGAAAGTTACAACCAGGGCAAGAGGTAAAAAAGCAAGCGCAGAAAATGTAAATGAGCACTGCCGTTTGTGTAAGTGTGCGTTGAAGCTAAAATATGGGGCAATAGCAAAGGTGTCTTATATATCGTCGGAGAATTTATTCAAATCATCCAGAAGAAAAGAATTCGTCAGTGGAGAAACCTTGGCCGAGTTGTGTTCATTACATTTAGGTATCGAAGTTAGTTCTTCCACGGAACTATCCGACCGAGTTTGTAAACCGTGTGGGCGAAAGATTCGAAACGCAAGCGAGCTGATTTCTTTGATAAAGCGAGACATAAACGCGATCGCTGAATCGAACAAAGAAACCTTTGTAAAGCGTCAATTACCCACGACCGTCCTGTCCCCCGAACGAAGCCCTGTCGTTAAGAAAGCCTTAAGAAGAACAGAACTCGAAGCAGCTCATGGGCCTAAGCCGCCTAGCCGAAGTGGTCCTGCGAAGAAAGCTCTTTTTGTTAGAGAAAATGTCGAATGCGCGGAATCGACGGGAACACTGCCAAAAGAAAACGATAGCACACTTGACCCATTGTTGTCAGCCCTAAATGTAGATCACCACGACGAGAAACCGACGACGCAACTAAAAACGGTAGTTTTGCAACCCAACGGGATTGTAAAAACTTATGAATCATTTGATGATACGACAAAGTCCTTAATAATCAACCTCATTCTGAAGAAATGGAAACCCGCAGCTAACATAATCTTCAAGCATCCGGAATTGAAAACAGAACTGTTCGATCCGCTGAAAAGGACAGTTAGTGCGGAATTTAATGATTATTGTTCGAAAAGTGATGATTTCGAGTCAATGCTCAAGCAATGTCATCCCACTGATCTGGAGTCTTTTTCAAACAAGCTTTTTTTAGCAGAAGTCCGACTGTCTTGCCCTTACTGGATGTCATGCCTGATGGGGGCATGTAACGCACCTGGTAGGAATAGTCAAAGTATCAAGCAAATAAACTACATGGCTTTATCTTCAGCAGTTGCTGCCCGTTGTAGAAATCAATTGATGTCAGCAGTTGCTCGGCAATTCTTTTCCATAGTGGTGTAAAACATCAAGACATTCGTCGCTTACACAAACTTGGTGTTTGTATGTCTCCAGATATGATAATTGATATGGAAAGGAAAATGGGAGAAGGTTGTGAAAGAAAGCTTCTTTTGTGGAAAAAAGAAATTGAATTGAACAAATCTGCTGAGTTGCTTATGAAGGAAGTAAAAGAGAAACAAGTGACGAATGTGGTTTCCAGAAATGCAGAAGACGACATGGAGTTGGAGGTGGTGGTGGATATGTCAGAGACAGTGGTACAGGGGTACAGGATGTTTGGTGAAGATACATATAAACAATGTAAAACGCTTGTTTTGCATGGTAATGATGATTTGTCTTGTGTCAGTGAAGAAGATTTAGAATCTGCAATACAGCTTCAACACCATAGAAAGCTACCATCATACAAGTAAGATATTTATTAATTTAGTTTATTAAGTTTAAGTGGCAGCACTAGTCCAATATTCACCAGATGAGTAAATCTGCCATTAAAATAACAAATAATCTGCCATGTTATATTTTTGCTCTATATACTGTAGTAGAAGTGGCGAGTTGAAGATAGTAATGTTGTGGTAGTCCAATAATTTTATTTTTGTGCAGATTGGTTGGTGACAACATTGACATAATGATACATGCCAGAATTCAAACACAGCAATTACACGAGAATAGGTCTATTCATTGGACCCAACAGTATGGAATTCTAAACCGTGTAAATGAACCATCACTAGACAGATCAAGACCACAGAAACCATTACAAGAGATCCAGTTAATAGAGCTACTGCCAGGTAAAGATGTACAAGAAAACCTGAAGACAAGATGGGCTGCATTAGTCGCAAGAGTGATATGTAAATATCTTGGAAAATTTAAACATCTCAAGCGAGCTCTAGTTTACCATATTCAGCACAAGTATTCCAAAGAGATGGCTGATAAGTCAGAAACGGTAATAAATTTAAATTATTTTTTTTAAACAATCTAATTTAGTATCACATCAACCCTAATAGCCTGCATGTTAGAAAGTCCTTAAAAGCAGGGACAAAGGCAATTGTGAATATAATTATCTAAACAATTTATTCCATTATGGTACCTGAATGTATATGGTATTCAACCCGCAGTGCATTGCCTGGTTCTATAAATATATTTTTAATGGCTTTATTCTATATAGTGTTGCCTAGGGATCCAGTTTGCAAATTCAAATGTTGCAAGTGAGATGGTACAACTTTTGCAAACAAATCATGAAAGGTATGTTCCAGCTATGAAATGTGAAGATGGGAATATTATACTGGAACAAGTGCCATTGCATGGAGATCAACTTTTTGAGGAAAGATCAAGAAATGCGAAGTGGAGCATGCAAGATGGGGATACAGAGTGGGACAGGCTGGATGGAATTGAGACAGAGTTCGCTGATTGGCATGCAAAACTGAATTTATATATGGTAATTTTATAAAAAACTGATAAATTAAATTTTTTCAGATCTGAGAGGTTAGATTCTCCCATAATATTGTAATCCCTCGACCTCTAAGCTTTAAAGCCATATCTCATAAATCTGAAAACCTTGTTGGTCTCTCATTTTTTTAGATTGAATTCAGTATCTTCTCATCTCATTCTTCCGTGAATGAAATTGGAACGTCTCGAGCTAGTATGAATAGGACTGGAAAAACAAATGCTTCAAAAGGTGTAGAGAATCATTACAATGAATATAAAGAATTTCATCTTTGTGAAACAGAAGCACATATATGTGCATCTTTTATGGAAATGTGTGGCATGTTGAATATGGAAGGTAATTGAATTTTTTATTGCATTTGGAGCACATTTTGGTTTGTCTTCAGTTTGGACATTAATTGGACATTAACTGTATATTATATAAAACAACATGATTGTTGGTTACCACATAATTATGTACTTTAGATATTCTTTCAAATGTTACTGATGAATGGAAACAACACTCTAACTATTACTGAAATTGTATGCAATTTTTGTAATCACAATGCCTTTTGGATAGACACTGTAAGGTACTATCTCAAGTGATATGAGGGTTCCAAATTGTTTTTACATTTAGATCATCCTACATTTGATGTACCTGATGACAGTGTCACAAGAGAAATTCAAAGAAAATGGTTGATGGAGACATGTGCAAAATTTGTTACAAGTATGTGATGCAAGTGGATGTGAACACATTGGTTCAGAAAATTGAAAAATTTGATGAACAGAATAGAGAAATAGAGGTGAACCGTTCTCTGGGTTTCGTGTGTAGAGTACCTGGATGCAAAGTAAAATATATCAGCCATTCAAACAGGGTTAAGTAAGTAATTTTTCTACTTGATCAAGTATGATGCCACACTTGTATTATGCTTTGGATCTCTCAATATTTGTCAGAGTGTTTGCCCATGTCTCTCGGTTAGCTAGTTATCATTTAAAAGTTTGAATAAATATAATGTTTGTTAAGTTGCTCTCTGATGCCTGCTAGGATAGGTTTAGGTTTAATCAATTTCAGTATGCATAATTTATGTACTGTAGCGATATGTGTACTATTATAAAAAATTACATGTATTCTTTAGACATGAGCAACATGATTAAAGAAATTTTACCAAGAAATTTTACATGGCCATCAAACATGTGTTATGATGCTATTTTTTAATAACAACTAATCTATCTAAATTAACAGGCATGAAGTTACAGCACACAAAATAATTAAACAAGTGTATGAAGAAAGTGGTATGGAAAGAGATGAATTTGGTTACTATTACTGTAGATGGGGTGTGGCCTAGTATATTCTACATCATCAATTAGAAACAGGTAAGTAATGGATATAGATAATTCAATTAAATATGAAGTAATCCTTGGTTATATGTGGATCATACTAATTGTGTCATATGTCTTGCCTTCAGACATGAAATTGGAAAGCATTCCCAAGTATTTGATCCTGACTCAACCCACTCAATTGAAATCAATGAAAGTCAAGAGGAGGACAATCTTTACAATTACCACTGTGCTAAGTTAACGTTTGGACTCCTTCTAATGGAGTTCAATGATGGAATAAAAGAGGGTGATGGGGAAAGACTTATTGATGTGTATAAAGTGGCACTCCTTCTATTCAAAGAACATGGCAAGACCAAGTATGCATATGAAGTGCTTTTGTTACTTGTTAAGATTAATGGCATTCTTTCAAAATATGATGCACACAACTTGAAGTGGAACAGGTTTTTTAACAAGCATGGAATAAAGGGAGGAAACATTCCCTTAGATTTAAGAATGGAGCAACTGAACAAGATTGTTAAAACCTTGTGGAGATCTCTAGGTGCAAACCTAAATGAGGCATCCGCTGCAAGGCTTGCTAACACTGTTGATGAGATGGAAGCAATTCTTGATGAAATAGACCAGGACTGTGACCTTGCTTCTAATATTGGTTACAGATCCAAAGGCAAGCCTGAAGTTGCTGTAGCCCAAGTTACTAAGGATCTTGTGAAAATAAATGCTTCAAATTTTGCAAAGGCAGAAAAGGTCACCCAACATTTGCAAACTTCCCAAAAACACTTCTTGGAAGATTGAACTATAGGGATTTACATGCATGGTTGAAAGGTCATATCAAAACATGGGATTCTGCCTATAGAGATTAGAAACAGCCTGAACACAAGACAGTTTGAAAATCATTCTATATTTTTTCACTATGTATTTATATGTACTCAAATTTCCAATGTAAATAGGTGCACAATCAGTCAGAAATTATACTTAGACAATTAAATAAAGTCATACTCATTCAAATCTTCAGCCAAGGCAGTTTCATTGAATTCACTTTGCAGCAGATCATCGAGTGAAAATTGTTTGAAATCAGTAGTGCCACCATCATCATCAGTACTTTGAAATGTGCTTTCAATGTCATCAAACACCTCATTAATTACACTAAGGACTTCTTTAGCATGGACTGTAGAGAATACAGGGACACAATATAAAATGTCCTTAATAGTGAACAACTTGTGGCAATTGTCCAGCACATCTGAAATAGCTTCTTTGGAGAAGCCATAGCATGATAACAGGCCAAAAGCAGTTATATTTCCACCTATAGAAAACTGTGTCTGGTGAGCTTCAAGTGCATCTTTCAGTAGAGATCTATCTTCTTCATTTACGGACCGGCGAAGTGGAGATACATGTAACATTGCATCACCAGTTATTGTTTGTTGTTCATGGGGAATTTGAACCACTTTACACTCCAATGACCCACATTCACAATTCTTAGAACAAGTATTAATTGCAGCAAATGTGATGTGGTGATAAAGGAGTTATGGTCTTATCAAATTTACTGTAGCTTGCTACGCGAAAACAATCAGATGATTGTAGAAATTCTCTCATCTCATTCTCAACATGTGCAACTTGCTGGCCATAATAGAACAGTACAGTATGAGCTAATGCTCCATCTCGCCCGGCTCGCCCTGCTTGCTGGTGAAAATCTAAAAGATTCCTTGGTGGACCATACATCACCACATATTTTACGTCAGGAAAATTTACGCCCATACTCAAAGCTGATGTAGCAACCACAACTCGTTTTCAAAAATGCGTTGTTTATATTTCTCCTTAATCATTGAATGAAATATGCCAATCAAACAGTCCTCTCTCTTCTTTGAGCTGTTTGGGTAGAATGCATATGTGCCAAGTTTCATTTGTAAATAGTTCACTACTTGGGCAAGAGCATAGATTGTGTCACAAAATATAATTGTTTTTGGCATGACAATATTATATTGTTTTATCATGTTGGCAATCCAATCCAGTTTGGAAAGCATAAGTGTTTTTGGCACCTTGTTTATGTCAAATCTCAAATTTGTTCGATTTGGACTGACAAACAACTTTGTTGCATCAGTTATTGCCAAATTGGAACAAATGACCTTCTGTGTCACCTCATGCAGTTAGTGCTAAAACAGGTGTTCCTATATTAGAGAAAAATGTTACAAATTTAGAATAGGGTTAGGGTTGATTTACTTAACCTTACACAAATCTGTGCACAAATGCCTATTGGCTATTGCAATTAAATTATGACAGTATGAAAGAATGACAGGTGTATTCAAAATTTTTGTGACATGACTAACTTGTTTCCATGCTTTTCTTTTTATAAAATTTGTATTTAAATTTAACTACTCACGTTCTTTACACATTGATCTCAGAATTGCCAGTTTGCCATAAGCATCTCTGAATGCTTCACTCTGGATGCTTGATCCTCTTTTACTTCTATCAAGGTACATAAAACCAAGTGTTTTTTTCAAAAATACAAAAAAAATATTAGAGATAAAATATAATTTATCTTAATTACCTTTTCCCCGTCCACGTTTCCACAGTATGAGACTCGTCCACGACAATAAGAGCAATGGATCGATGAATCGCAGAATTGCTGTTCTTGAGCGAATCAAGAAAAGCTTTATTGATTGCGCTTTCCGCGCTTGCATAAATATACTGCGGTGGAGACTTGACGACTTCTGAAACGTTTTTATCCGAAAGTTCCACCGCTGAGAAGTCCATCGAAAGCATCTCAGCTATTTGATCTTCTATAATACTGCGTAGAGGAGAAATAACAAGAACGCTACTGCGTTCAGTTTTATTTATTTTTGCCATATTTTCTTGCGCCAACAAGAACAACGTAAAAATCAAGCTTTTCCCATAACCAGTGGGGAGAACGGCTAAAACATGCTTCCCAAGAAGTAAATCTTTAACCGCTATCTCCTGCTCGCGTTTAAGAACCAGTTCTCGTTTCGATTTTCGAGAATTGTTAAGTTTTAAAACAGCAGAGCGAACACAATCGTCAATAAATTCCGCCATGACCAGACGCGTGGAATATGTAAAGTAATTTGATCTAGTTTTATGTTACATATTAACAATATTTACTCTTGATTGACAGCGGATTAGACTCGCAGCCAATCATCAATTCCCGTCCACCAGTGGACGGGGTTTTTAAAAAACATAGCCAAACCCGGCAGGCGGTCTTTCGCCGTCCTCGCCTCGCCCGATTTCAGGGACCGCCTGCCATGCAGGCTACCTTTACCCATGCATCTACCTTTATCTCATACTATTACTATATATTAAACAAGCCGGGAGGAATAAGATTGTATTATGGCATTTAAGTCATGCATGCATGTACCTAAAAAGTCTCCTACTACAGCCAGTTTATCATTTAAAAATTCAAATTTCATATTTGAAAAAAAAATCTATAGTCACTGACCAGCGACAGTGAATCATCACTTTAGAGACAGTGAATTTTGACCAACAAGAATACAGGAAAATCAATCGAAATTTATACTAAATAGATTAGTTGCCAATCCGCAGTTATTAATAAGGCCAATGTAGAAGATAAAGAGGCTATACAGGCAGATTATCCATTGACTGTTTTTTGTCTTACTGAATTGTACTTTAATCAAAAGAGATAAGAAAAGGCTATAGTATACTGTACCCTTGATTGACCTAAAAGATCATGTGAGAAATGCATGCCTAAGCGTGCCAAGCGCCTGATCTGTTGACCTTACTAGTACTATATTCAAAATGGTGGCTATTCTACTAACGATTGTCATTGCCACTCTAATGAAATGTACGAACGCGTGTGGTGTATCAACACATATCTCCATTGCAAACCAAGCTCTGGAGTCGTTCGCCGATAGTGGAGAATACAACGTTAGTTATCGAGATATCATTTTAAACAACTATGACGCTTTCTACGCCGGTAGCAATTATCCAGATGCCATGTATTCAAGCGCTTGCTTTGGCGGTCGTTTCCATGATATATCCGAGGATACTCATTGGACACCATTTCTCAACGCAACAGCAAACTATATTAGAAAACGATACCCGCAACCTTGGAGTAAGGTAAAGACTATATGTAGCCAGAACACGTCGGCATGCATCAGCGTAGGAAGACTGGATATACATTATGATTGTTGAGACAATATTGGCTGATATTATATATATATATATATATAAACTCGCAGACGTTTACGCTTACCAGACGGAAGCAATGCATGTGGAGCATGGCCAGGGGTGTATGGCCAAAATTTTAGCAAGGGGGGCTCGACGTGCATTTATTACTAATAAGGCGAAAAATATTAAAATTAAAAGCGGCCAAACTTCTCTAGAATGCATGATGTTAAAATATCAATACGAAATATGATAACACGTTACATTAACAATTAAAGTGTAAAGTTCATCATATAAATATTTACGTAAAGATTGTCGGCCGTGTCCGTGATTAAAAGAAGAAACAACCACCTGAAACTACTTTTGCTTGCACTGACATTGATAATGTGCACAGATATATTGATAGCACAATCATGGAAATTAATTCGTAGACTTCTCTATTACATAATAAAATACCCCCTTCCCCCTTGATTAATGTTGGTATATATAGGAGCGTGATATCACATTGGGATGTCTTTCAATCAACATTGTGTGTGAGGGGGAAGGGGGGAACAGCTATTGACCGTTGAATCAACATCTTTAACAATTACTGTGGTCATGTAGCGTCTCCAACGAAAAGTCTACCTATATTATTTCCATGATTGCAGCTCGACTGCAAGTTTGCATGCCAGCGTAGGAAAGGGTAATGGATCACGGAATTCATGGTTGCCTCTTGGATGCCTAATATTTTGATAGTTATACCTATCAAAAGCAGCAAAACATAAATAGCGCAGTGCAATTCTCTGACGGAGAGAGAGTGGAACTGCATGAACGGAAAAAAAATTACGGGAATGATAATTGAATTTCGCCAGAATAAATCCGAAATAGCAATAAAATTTAAATTAAGTATAGAACCTTTTATGATAGATAGATGTAAATATTAATCTTTCTAAAACTTTTTAACTAATAAGTATTTGTACAAATATGATAATTTAGCTTTTTTTAAGAGATTATATGATAAACAAATGTAAATATTGATACTTTCAAGGCTTTTCAACTATTTGCAGACGTAATAATTTAGCTCACTGCATGCTATCGTGTAATAAAACCCACATCAAATCAAATCAAATAAAAAAAGCCAATCAAGTTCCAGTTGACTTTATTTTCTATTATTATAGCAATACGCATTACTTAATTACAGTGTGATAACATTTGTGTTTTCTAGGATACAGAAAAACTGATTGCTTTCACGTTTGGTGTGGTATCTCACCAAGTGGCTGACATCACATGGCACAGTCTGGGTATCGACCAAGGTTTCTTACAAACAATGGCTAATGTCAATTTCTATGGCTCGTTTTCCACCGCTCATCCCCTTGGAGACGCTGGAGGTGATATGGTTTCTATTTTTGAAGGAGATCTCCAGGATATATTACTAACACAAAAATGGTTAATATTCACATAATCCGTTTTTACGATTCACTCGAAAAGGTTCTTATTTCAGCTGTATGAGGGATAGACTACATGCATCGACGATCTGGTATAGAGTACGAAAAACATGTATAACCAGCAGGAATGTGCGTTCATTGCGGCGACACTGTTTTGAACTAGATGCTTAGGCGCTCAGGCATTCACTCGGGCCACAGTTATCTCGCTTAAGCTTGTAACGCCTAATTTTTGGTGTTATGGCATGTTCGTGACACCCGCGCGAGAAACGATCCTAGCACGATTTCGATTCGTTCGAAGATTTCGTGCCGCCCACGCGTGATTTTCGTAAACTCGCGACGCAAAAGGAAAAACCACTGAGGGAAAAACCGAGCCAATTTTTCAACTCGCTCTACCTACGGGTGCCCGAGTAATAACGAGTTTTTTAAAAATTTAATTGAAACAATGAAAAAATTTATAACAAAATTGAAACAAACAAAATCTTTATTGGAAATACTTTTAATGACTCAAACCATTCAGTGAGATATAAATATAATAAATAATTATTGTAGATTGTACAACAATTTCGTAAAAACAACTCAACAACTTTTAACCTAAATATTTTTTCAACAGTTTTTTGCTTTGTATTTGCTGAATAACAATGCATTCAATACAATAGCTGTGTAACGTTAGAGACGAACCGACCGATTTTTATTGTGATTTTAAGGTATTTTCCAGTCGAAGATTTGGTGAATATCTACAAAAAACTTTATGGAAAAATTAGAATTGATGAAAACATTATAATTTCGTGCAGTTCACTTCTTTTCGCTGAATGGATTGGAGAAAAAATCGCTGGAGCTGACCTTTTTACACTTTTTGCAGATAAATCTCCTTTTCTCGTTGAAAAACTCCATAGTTACTTCCTAGGTAAGTATTGTCGTAACCATGCAATTCTTTCATTGTTTGTTCCACTTTGTATAGAAAACATCCAGTAAACATGCATATACTCGAACAAATGCGCAATTTTATAATATGGTTATGTCGTAACCACGATATTGCAAGCATTAGACACTAGAGAGTGAATGCGTTCACTCTCCTCCCATTTTGCTCTTTTTTTAAGAGTCAAAAGCTTGCTTTAAGTTATTCACTTTGCAGATGGCAATGATCATTCAATAATTTAATATTATGGTGTTTAGCATATAATAGCATTTACCATAAAGTGGTGCATGATAAATCAAACGAAACAGTTTTCTAACAGATCAGCTAAAACGTCATTCTACTCTATCATGAAGTTGTTTTTCCAGAAACCTGCATGCGGCCTTGTGATCAAAGCCGGTGAACAACGAAGGAAGCGCTCATGCACTTCATGTTATACTGAAACTACGCATGAGTGCAGGTATTTGAGCATACTGATATATAACCGATTCAGAACATGTATACATACAACTTTTTTCCATGCAGGCGGGAAATCTGATATGGCAGCCTGGTCTTCCATAATATGGCATGAGGCAGCGCACTTGATAGAAAAGGGATCTGCAGCGTGCGAAATGCCACGAAATCCATTGTATATCCGATGCAATCCGGGAAAAAGTCTGAGTTTAAGTGATTTTAACAATAAACTACAAAGAAGACCGCGACGGATTTCGCTTATTCACTTTAAAAACGTAAACAATGCCGATATTAAGATCACGCCAACATCGCGAGGCGTTTATTTTGACATAAAGGGTGAAACAGCTGAAAAACTTCGAGCAATGGAAAGGCATCCTCAGACGACCCTCAATGAACAAAAGATTTTCGGGAAACACTATTGGACAAGCAAGTCGCTCATATTTTCAACCAAGATCAAATATGCTGAACTAGGATGGTAAATATTTTTAACGAGGAGCAACTATATGATAAAAAATAATTTTCCCGGTGGATCTAGGTTACTTCCAGAGGAGGCATAACTTCCCACCGGTGCATATTACGTGAAAACATAAGATCGTAAAAACTTGAGCATTATACATTTCTGTGCAGTTTTACCATGCAATTATAAGCGAATCCTTTCAATGGAAATAATGCTAACCATAATCCTCTTTGAAATAACTTGGCGCAGTAATAATGTCTCCCCTGTGTGTGCTGCCTATTGTAGTACTGTGCATTGCGATTGTAGTACGTTTGCCATTCCAGATCCAAGAAAACATTCCTATATTAAATACATTAAATGTATTTCTTATTTGTTCAACTTCACTCATGTTCCCTGAACTGTGCATGTGGTAACTGAGGCCAAAATTACAGGGCATAAAGTAGCCTTTTTGACCCAGTACTGAGTGTATTCCACAGGAGTCTCGCTTCTGGACGGTTGCCCGGTTACGGGGAAGTCCTAATTACTGCTGCACCTTGGTATGGAAGTCCTGGAAACAGTCAACATGGACGAGTGTACATATTATCGACAGGCAAGAGTTTTCTTGATGGAAATTATACAGATATCGACCAGGCAGCTAATCAAATACTAGAAGGAACTGCAACGAATAGCAGATTTGGTTATGCATTGACTCTACTTGACTACAATGCAGATGGTGTGAACGATTTGGCCATCAGCGCACCATCGCAAGGTGGGAATATATACGCTTCTGTATGAGACATCAGAGAAAGTTTTCTGTTACTACCAGGGGCCGGTTGTATAAAACTCTTTAACTACATTTTGCATAGTTAAATCCTATGGTTAATATAACTCTGAAATACACGACTCTGATTGGCCAATTCTGTCCTTAACTACAGTTAAAAGTTAACTAGTCTTTTATACAACTGGCCCCAGATTATTTGCTAATCTAAAAGCGAAGATACTGGACGATGAATCTCAAAAAATGGATAAGTTAAGATGATATTAATTACAGATAATTACATGTTTAACCAACTATAAACTGATATCACTATTGTATTGTGCATTAGGATCTAACTCTCTGAACTACACGGGTGCAGTGTATATTTATTACGGGAACAGCACAAGTGGTCGCGTGAACACCAAGCCCGACGTTATTATTCTTGGCGACCAGCGGTATTTTAACCTTGGAACGCGGTTACTTGGTGCTGATGTAAATATGGATGGCTTCGACGATCTCATTATTGGATCAAAATATTCGCCATCGGGAGGGGCGCAGCGGGGATCAGTCATTGTTTTTATCTCTAGGAAAAGAGATGAGAAAAAGCCGCAAACACTCTACTCCAGCCAAGCTGATTTGTGGCTAAAAGGCGAGCAAAATTACAGTTGGTTTGGTCACGACTTTGCCTTCCAAAAGAAAACATCCATTGGGCCAACGCTTATTGTATCAGCTCCAACCTTCAGGTACATTCATATTTACACATTCAGACATTCATTCTCCTTCACTGCATGAAAAGGTAAAGATTTTTCACAAAAGCCTTTCGTCGTAAGTACGAGTTATACGGCTATAAGGCAGTTCGGGATAAATTTTACTAGGATTTGAATTCATTTGAGACCATTTAAATCATTATGCATATCGAAGAAGAGAATTGTTCACACATTTGGCTTTACAATACAAAACCTTTATTCGCATGCAAATAAAATTCTTAATCTATCTTCAGACTGCACTTGCTCGTTCGACAACTTTTCGGTTCGTTACGAGCCTGTATTAATATGCTGTATTATTATTAGCTTATTTATACACATTGCTTGTTTTACTTATACAATAGGATTTGCGCACTTAAGAACTGTTCCTATTCCAAAGATGACGTACAGAGCGCTGGAAAGTTGTACGGATACCAGATGTCAGGTGGCGAATGGAAATTGAAATTCCAAGTGATCGGTGAAACTCCATTGGGTCAACTTGGTAGTAGTATTGCTATTGGGGATCCTTTTGGATCTGGGCCTGATATTTTGGCCGTATCATCTCCGACATCAGGTTTGTTTCTAAGTGTTGCAGATTGTCGCTTACTTTACCATGAATCAAATCAGAGTCACTTTGGGTATGCAAACTGAACGTAAAAATAGTTATCAGCGCACCAATTAAATAAGCCTGAAAGCTTGCACACTCTCAATGCAACAACGTTGTTCCATGACAAAAACAAAACTCACTGTAAAATGTCGGTTTACAAAGGTCTTGCTGACATTGTTACTGCATATACTAGGCTATACATAATGACAGCATAAAAAACTGAATTTTACATATATAGGTCGATAAACCTGAATATACATAAGTACACTATAATAATTAGATTTACAAGTAAGATTATATTAGATTATATTTACGAAATTGTAATATTTACAATTTTGAAAGTATGATGTATATTCAATAAATATTGTCGCACGCCATCACCGACCTTGATCGCCCCACTTTGCCAGCTAATTTCATTTTATATTTTCTCAATAGATGTTTATGGTCACCGCTCGCTAGAAGTTCCTTCAAAATTCGAACAGGCTGGCAAAGTCTTCCTACTAAGTCTTGAAATGTTAGTTGAAAGGTATCATGTTCGCGTACCTGGAACTGAGTATGTGTCTTGTTTTGAAGGAAACCTCGACTTTGGAAGGTTTGGTTGGCGTGTTTTGTTGCAGGATGTCAATAATGACGGTTTAAGCGATTTGATTGTGGGGTCACCTTATCAAACGCAAAACGTGTACACGCCAAAGGGAGGTAATATTTTCCCTCAACTCTTTCCCGTTGTGCCATATAAATCGTTAGGATCGATGTATATATTATGGAAAACATGCAGTCAACACATAGAAACAAGATATATAGAATGAGTACTAATATACCTCTCCCTGATAAAAATTTGTCTTCAGAGCCGGATAACGTATATGTATAAGGTAAGGCACGTATATTATTACTATGTCAACATCGCTTCACTAGTCTTTAGATACATGCTGCCGCTGTTTATAGCAGAAATGGAAAAATTAGCGATTGGAAAAATTAACGTAAAGATTTGCTTAACCCAGGGTTAGACCAACCGGCTTTTGAACAACCGGCCCCAGTATTTCTTAATTACCACCTTTAACACACAGTCGTTAGACGGTAGACGCCTGTTTAATTTCATGCATGTTATATTTAGGTAGCCACGATTATAATTATTTATAAATCCCTTATCTGTACCACGCAGGAGAGGAGGGTGCTGTTTATATATACTATGGTGGTAAGAAGTTTCCCCTTGGAAATGCAACAAGAGATTGTGACGTGCTCAGTACTCAACCTTGCCCCCAAGAAAAAGTAAGTTGATGTCCAAACAGCTCAAGGTGAACTCTTTTCTCAAGCATGTTTTCCACTTTTTGTATTCAAGTTACCCTTTTTCTGTGGAAAGCACCAAAATGGTCTGGAAGCGATGCCCAATCTCATGCCCGTTATAATTTGCAACCTAACGTCTGCACGCACAGTATGAAAATAAAAAGACTCCTTTTATCATTGCAGGCTTCACTATACCTAGATCCTAATCAGGTATGTATGTAAAGATAATTCAACGGCCGAAATAAACAACAATAAACGGATCGTATCCTCCCTTGCACATGAACCGCGGTCCGCGGAGCTGGGGAATCCTAAGCCCCCCCTTTCCTCAGACAAAAAATCACCGGCAAAAATTCTTCGCTGGGTATGAAATTGGAATCAGTTCTGGCTGACTGAATGTATGACTCGTTTGAATTTTCGCTACTCATCACAAAACTTTGCACTAAAAACGGTTGTATTTTATTCCTCTACAGAGATTTAGTCAATTTGGACGAGAGGTGGTTGCATTGAGTCTTGCAACCGCATCAGGTATTGTGGTGTCCGCTCCACGTCAGAGTGTCAATTCCTCTTTACACAATGGTGCGATTTACGTGTTTCCTATTTCAGGTGAGTCGAAACCTCATCAATAATCTAGCAGCAGAGAACTCGTGCATTAGTGAGTGTCCGCATTGGCGACACTTGAAACCATGCATGGTGGTTTGAGTTAAGGGTGCAAAACTTGGTTGAACAGGGGCGTTCACGGAAGGTCTCCGTCTCGCGAGGGTCACTTTAGTTATGTCATTTATTTGCTGAAGTGGATGTTGATGATCTTGAGGTTTGTGGTAACTCAATAGCAAGTACTGTTTCGGCAAGGTGCCTACGTGCCTATGCCTACTGTGGGCATTGGGTGTTCTAGTCGTTGGTATGCACACATGCCGCCTCTTTGTGTGGTCGATGACTCGAAACAACCATATTCCATATCCATATAATAATTAATCGAACCTGCTGTTGCGGGAAAGTCGTAAGTTTTCCTTCTAGAGTTTGACGCAGTCAGCTGATTGTTGGCGGTTGTTAATATGAATGTGACTGAAAGACGACAATGCATGCAGAATAAATAGAATTTAATTAATTTTATCTTTTCTCAGGTAAACTTCGTCGTGGAAAACTCGTGTATTAATTAACTGGTCTGGTGAAGAAAATAAATGCTGAAGAGTAACTTATTTGATTATTTTGCAAATACCAGTAATCTTAACAGTGTACGTTCAGTACAATATATTATGAACTGTAAAATAACTACACACCTGAAAGTACTGTGACATGTGCGAAGGGCTATGAAATTGTGTTATATATACCACACGTAATATACATGAAAGTAAAAAAGTGAAAATCAACCAGATACATGAAATGGTATAAATTTACTAAAATCACGCTAATAATTCACTATCGTGGGTGGGGAAAGTTATTCTGGTAAAGTAATTACCACATTATCGGTTTACCCGCAGAAATCGTCACTCTAGGATTCATATCAATGAAAGGCATTTATCTAAGACGCTGTACTTGTCACGAGTGTACTGTAAGTAACTACTTTATAGTAATAACGCCCGCTTAAATTTGAGAAATACTGCAAAATTACCAAAAAAAATAGAATGCACGCAGTATACAGCGCATGTGAAAGTTTGAAAAAAAACCATCATGCAAAACCATCTTTGCATCTGCCTATTTTGAACCAGAGAGTTTCTAGTAATCCTGGTTTCGCCGTAAAATGTTATTTAGTCAAGTATATGGTTGTCATCAACATTGAACTTTATTGTTGCATTCGATTTAGTTTCAACAATATTGTTCAACTTGCTTGACAAGTTTGAACATGCAAAATGGGCAGGCAGCACAACATTGTTCCATCCTGGCTAGTATTATTTTAATATCGCTAGTGCGTTTATGGGTAAAGGGGATTTTGCCTTCCTAATATTTTTAAAATGATGAATCAAATGACAAAACATCATGGATATGTCTACAAGAAAATCGTATTGAATATATTTCTCTAGGCAAATGATTATTACAAGTCAAATGATTATTACAAGTCAATAGGTCGTTAGAAGCGTTAGATTATTGCATGTTTATATTGATACATTCTTAACTGTTTTATAAAGTGCACTACACTGTTATAAATTACACTCAATTTATTGGCACGGCACGGCTAAATTTGGCACCTGTGTCCAATTCTACAAGTGTTCAGGTTACCAAACCAATAGGCTGAACCATCTGGACACAGATAAAAATATTGGTATATGGGTATGTACCAATTTCAACCGTGTCATGCTGATTAATTGAATATAGTATAAACAGGGCTTAACCTTTATTATTCTAATTACTCGAGCTAAAGCGAGAGTCTTAAGTTCGGCCAGTTTTTTTTCGCGCAAGACTTAGGTATTCTCCCGCGCGGTCAATCTTAATTTTGGCCAATCGAAATAAATCGTGGTCCCATGTGACATATTTGTGACCATCTTATTGGCGCTCAGCGGCATAATTTGTGTACTCAATCTAGTTCATATACATATTTCAAATTTTAATAATATATTATGTTGCTGAAATGTTGGTGTAATATTGCTTGTTTTTTACGCTTTTTAGCAAAAGTTCAAGCAAAAACACTCCTTTAGCTCGAGTAAACGCTTAGCGGGCGACTTTTTGTCTCAATAAATGCATTAATAGTCATAAAAATCAAAAGTTCACATGAAAATGTTCAAATGTTATAAGTTATCAGAAACCGATCATGAACATCACAACGTTTATCATGAGGTACTGTGCAACAGCAATACCGGCCGAGGAGGTTGCCACTTCGTTGGTCCCTTCGGTACAGTTCAAAGGATTACATTCATTTCCTTCAATTGTGAACAAAGCTGAGTCGGTGTCGGAAGCTACTGAGACATAAATTGATCGTTTCTCTTCGACTCCGGTTAATCTTATTAGTTCAGTTAAACGGGGAGAAATTACGATAATTTTGTGGTTTTGACTGGAAAGTTCGAAGGAAATGTCAGCATCATATTTGTAGGGATGTGGGTTAGTACGAGAAGCATAAACCAGTGTGCCACCTGTTAGGTCTTTTACATTGATCTCCAAGTTTAAAGATAAGGTTACTTGGTAGCTGAAATACAAGTATATGTCCTTTTGCACTTTTGTTTTGATAGTCTCGTTGAGTGAGGAAGAACGAGGTTCATAGCACGCTCCGGATGTCATCGTCGCAATAAACGTCTCAAGATCGGAAAAACCCGTCAGAGTATAAACATGCGACTTTGAATTAGCGATCTCTATTAGTTGCGGATGGTTATAATTGGCGATTCCAATAGCGTATATCACAATGTTTTTACTTCTTACATTCTTAGCTGGAAGGGCAACACTGTCAGACGCGATGCCGTCTGTTAGGACTATCAATATGCGAGGCAAACCATCACCATCTGGACGGAGACCTTTTTCCTCCTTAAATTGATCCAGGAGTATCTGATCTAAGGCACTCCCTAGGTATGTGGAACCACCTTTATGCACTACACGACTGATCGCAGTGAGGTAACCCGACTGACTCGTGTATGATGATAAATAGAAATGTGAGGTATATCCGCTACTGAATGTTGACAAACCGAATCTGGTGCCATCCTCCCTACTTAGTTTTTCATTTGAAAATGCTTTTATCATGTTTTTTACAAAATCAAGACTTTCTTCGAAATCGGCTTTTGAAACGCTACCAGACTCATCCAAAAGAAAAACAATGTCCAAAGAGCGATTGCATTTCAGAAGTGTTGCTTCAATTATGTCCGCCTCATTATTTCGTCTGATTAAGTCCCCCCTTTTTTGCACTTTCGGGTTTTTGTAAAAGTTTCTTAATTCAGCTATCGCTTTTGACCAGTCGTTTTTCGTCACAAAACTCCAGAACCTTAAATTTGGATAAGCAGAAGGATTTCCAAACTGGTACGAAACGCTCACGATGGCTGTCCGAATGCCGCGAGGAAGTGATGAAAATTTCTTTGCGCTCTCAGTTTTATCACTGTTGTATCTTTTTGAAACTTCGTTAACAATATCATCTTTAATAGCATTTGTCAATGTATCTGCCTCTGATTGCGTCAGTCGTAAAGGACGTTCATTTGCAGCACAAGCAGCGAGATTTCTTTTTAAGCCGAAGTAAGGGTAAAGTTTGTTGAATAGCGTGTGCAACAATAAAGTGAAAGACAAACAGGACTTGCTTCCAAGATCGACACCGGCTCCAATAGTAACGCCACTTTGTCCAAGAACTTCACCAGAGTTGGGGTCAATTGGAACATACCCGCACAAGGTAAAACCTTCATGGCATTTGAGAAATTTCACGTCAATCATAGGCGATGAAGTTTCAATGCCGTTGGGTATTCCAGACTTCCAAGAAGGTGGGCAGTCCAATCGCTGGACATTGCAGTTGGTCGGAACACGAGGATTCCCAATGTAATTTGACGGCCGATATTCTTCTTCACAGGTGTATGGTTCAGCACTAGCTGTGTAAAACACAAAGGTAAATAAAAGCAAAAGCTTCCCAAAAGACATTGCTATATACCATATAATATTGCAAAAAGTTTCGGCTAAGCATTAAGTAAACAGGTATATACGCGTTGTTTTTATAAGAAATTGTTATACAGGTGCTGTGTATTTTAAATGTGATTGGTTCATTCGTGGTCACATGACTTTAAATAAATGCAATGTTTCCTGCCAGGGAACAGGTGAAAAATTGTTGCCCGCTTAATTATTGTCATAACAAAGTTTTTGGAAATGAAATTGTCGTGTAACATGTATGTTTTTGTTCCTATACAACAAAACACTTAATGTTCGCTACACCTCGGGAAATAGTGAGTCTCAATAGCAACCTTAAGCATGTAGGACGCGAACGCGACGACGACGGCTATCAATACAATGGGTCTTTGAAAAGAAATGAATAATTAAAGACCCATGAGGGGTTTTAGAAGTCGTCTTCGTTCTGTTTACAACGGGAAAACGTGGTTTTTTACGTCTTGCCTAGAACGGGTGACCAGGACCCAGGGAGCCCTACCTCGAATTAGGCTCTATAGAATTGTCCTTAAACATAAACACAATGTTCTTAACGCCTTATACTCACTAAAGCGGTACAATTAAAGTGGAGTGGAGTAATTAAAGTTCCTTCACACGCTACCCGACCCGCTCGTCGCGACATTTTTGTTTGTCGTCATGGAGCAACTCAGGATTGTCTCGCGTGTGGTGTTTCTTTGTTTTTGTGGTGTTGAGTATATTTCTCTAGGCAAACGATTATTACAAGTCAAATGATTATTACAAGTACAGGTCGTTAGGAGCGTTAGATTATTGCATGTTTATATTGATACATTCTTAACTGTTTTATAAAGTGCACTACATTATGCCCCGTTATACATTACACTCAATTTATTGGCACGGCACGGCTAAAATTTTATTAGTGTTCAGGTTACCAAACCAATAGGCTGGACCATCTAGACACAGATAAAATATTGGTATATAGGTATGTACCAATTTCAACCGTGTCGTGCTGATTAATTGAATATAGTGTAAACAGGGCTTAACCTTTATTATTCTAATTACTCGAGCTAAAGCGAGAGTCTTAAGTTCGGCCAGTTTTTTTTTCGCGCAAGACTTAGGTATTCTCCCTCGCGGCCAATCTTAATCTTGGCCAATCGAAATAAATCGTGGTCCCATGTGACATATTTATGACCATCTCATTGGCGCTCAGCGGCATATTTTGTGTACTCGATCTAGTTCATATACATATTTCAAATTTTGATAATATATTATGTTGCTAAAATGTTGGCAGTGCGTGCCAATTTTCTGCTTATATTGATAAAGTTTCTCCGGCTAAAAGTACAAGCAAAAACACTCCTTTAGCTCGAGTAAACGCTTAGCGGGCGACTTTTTGTCTCAATAAATGCATTAATAGTCATAAAAATCAAAAGTTCAAATGAAAATGCTCAAATGCTATACGTTATCATGCAAAAACCGATCATGAACATCACAACGTTTATCATCAGGTACTGTGCAACAGCAATACCGGCCGAGGAGGTTGCCACTTCGTTTGTCCCTTCGGTACAGTTCAAAGGATTACATTCATTTCCTTCAATTGTGAACAAAGCTGAGTCGGTGTCGGAAGCTACTGAGACATAAATTGATCGTTTCTCTTCGACTCCGGTTAATCGTTTTCCTCTTAAGTCAGTTAAACGGGGAGAAATTACGATAATTTTGTGTATTTGACTGGAAAATTCGAAGGAAATGTCAGCATCATACTTGTAGGGATGTGGGTTAGTACGAGAAGCATAAACCAGTGTGCCACCTGTTAGGTCTTTTACATTGATCTCCAAGTTTAAAGATATGGTTACTTGGTAGCTGAAATACAAGTATATGTCCTTTTGCACTTTTGTTTTGATAGTCTCGTTGAGTGAGGAAGAACGAGGTTCATAGCACGCTCCGGATGTCATCGTCGCAATGAACGTCTCAAGGTCGGAAAAACCCGTCAGAGTATAAACATGCGACTTTGAATTAGCGATCTCCATTAGTTGCGGACGGTTATAATTGGCGATTCCAATAGCGTATATCACAATGTTTTTACTTCTTAAGTTCTTAGCTGGAGGAGCAACGCTGTCAGACGCCCTGCCGTCTGTTAGGACAATCAATATTCGAGGCAAACCATCAGCATCTGGACGGAGACCCTTTTCCTCCTTAAATTGATCCAGGAGTATCTGATCTAAGGCTCTGCCTAGGTTTGTGGAACCACCTTTATGCACTACACGACTGATTGCAGTGAGGTAACCCGACTGACTCGTGTATGATGATAAATAGAAATGTGAGGTATATCCGCTACTGAATGTTGACAAACCGAATCTGGTGCCATCCTCCCTACTTAGTTTTTCATTTGAAAATGCTTTTATCATGTTTTTTACAAAATCAAGACTTTCTTTGAAATCGGCTTTTGAAACGCTACCAGATTCATCCAAAAGAAAAACAATGTCCAAAGAGCGATTGCATTTCAGAAGTGTTGCTTCAATTATGTCCGCCTCATTGTTTCGTCTGATTAAGTCCCCTTTTGCTTGCTCTTTCGGATTTCTGTAAAAGTTTCTTAATTCAGCTATCGCTTCTGACCAGTCGTTTTTCGTCACAAAACTCCAGAACTTTGGATAAGCGGAAGGACTTCCAAACTGGTACGAAACGCTCACGATGGCTGTCCGAATGCCGCGAGGAAGTGATGAAAATTCCTTTGCGCTCTCAGTTTTATCACTGTTGTATCTTTTTGAAACTTCGTTAACAACATCATCTTTAATAGCATTTGTCACTGTATCTGCCTCTGATTGCGTCAGTCGCAAAGGACGTTCATTTGCAGCACAAGCAGCGAGATTTCGTTTTAAGCCGAAGTAAGGCTCAAGTTTGTTGACTAGCGTGCGCGACAATAAAGTGAAAGACGAACTGGACTTGCTTCCCAGATCGACACCGGCTCCAATAGTAACGCCACTTTGTCCAAGAACTTTACCAGAGTTAGGGTCAATTGGAACATACCCGCAGAAGGTAAAACCTTCATGGCATTTGAGAAATTTCACGTCAATCATAGGCGATGAAGTTTCAATGCCGTTGGGTATTCCGGACTTCCAAGAAGGTGGGCAGTCCAATCGCTGGACATTGCAGTTGGTCGGAACACGAAGACTCCCAATGTAATTTGACGGCCGATATTCTTCTTCACAGGTGTATGGTTCAGCACTAGCTGTGTAAAACACGAAGGTAAAAAAGGGCAAAAGCTTTCCAAAAGACATCGCTATATACTATATAATATTGCAAAAAGTTTGGGCTAAGCACTAAGTAAACAGGTATATACGCGTTGTTTATATAAGAATACATTCGCGGATTGGGCAATAATATAAGGAGCGGTTTCCTGTTATATAGACCATTGCTGCTGTAATCGCCCCAGCAGGCAATTATTTAGCAAGTAGTTATGACTGAATACTTTTATACATTCAACGCCGCTTTCAATGGAAGTAAATTAAAAGAAGTCAACTCACATGCAGCTTCATTTCTAAAAAAGTTTGTGAACCATCATTCCAGACTTTTCGATTTCAGAAAACAAGTGATAGCTATTATGTTTGCAAATGAATTAACATACTATTGCTATGAATGTCAATCAAATTTTTCCTTTCGTTTTCAGGAATATCGTTTCTAATTTTTCTTTCTCCATATATACATAGAATTTAATTTACAGAAATTTTACAATGATAACGGAATTCTTGAAATTCGTATTTTACGAAAAAATATATCACGAACATACATCTTTGTGCTCATTATCTCATTAAATATTTTCAAGAGTTATTTTTAAACACATGCAATCGCATATACATATAACTGTTTTATCCTCTATTGATTAGCAAGATAAACTACAGAATGCTGATTGGTTGAGAAAAGTACAGTTAATTTTTATTAACAATATATCGTCTGTACTTAATGGTAATTTCATTTGCTAAGATGAGTGCTATTCAAGCATTTTGTATGTATCACGACACTTTATTGTTTCCAAATGCAGCATAGTCACCTGAAGTATTGTTGAAATCAGGCCAATTGCAAAGAACCGGGGAAATTTAACATAGAACTACGAAGCTTTTTCATTCGTAGGAAACGGTTGTTTTAAAAGCCACTCAAAGCAGCCTTTTCTAATAAGGCATTACATTACAAACATTAATAGAGGTTAATATATCCAAGGATATATAATGTCTATAGAGAAGATTGACATGGTGGTGGTGCAGAGCTAACTATACATTATCGGGAGGCTGTGAAGGGAAGGTCTCGGTTTCCATAAAAACATTGAAGCCGCTTGTTTAGAAATTCCTAAAATCTGTCTGCACAAAGTTACTGAAAAACAGATTATCCCTATGGCTATTCAGAAATTTCAAAATGATTACGGAATCCTTGAAATTCTATTACTGACTACATATTTGTGTAATAACATATAGATTACCACAACTTATTTATTACCTAGCTGCATGTAATAACATGTTTTTCCTTGTATTATTAGCACGATAAAATTACTGAATGCTGATTGATTGCAAGGAGGAGACGTTATTAAAGTAATTGTATACTGCAATACAACGATTTTTACAAAAAAACAAAATGGAGTAAAAAAAACGAGACAACCGTGGAGTAATTAAAGTTCCTTCACACGCTACCTGATTCGCTCGTCACGACATTTTTGTTTGCCGTCATGGAGCAACTCAGGATTGTCTCGCGTGCGGTGTTTCTTTGTTTTGCAAACGCGTCGTCGAGCTGGCCGCGTCGTGAATCTTAAACTCCCTAGTATTAGCTAACTAAAGGTAGAATGTCTCAAAACACGCGGACACTATTTTAAATTCATCTATTGTTAGAATTTGAATAGTGTAGCAGAAAATTACTTATTATTGTTTTAACTTTGAATGACTTAGCACTTAGCTGAACGCAAACATGCGTGCGTAAAACGACTCATTACAAAGATATCTATGGAGTAAAAACACAACACCATGCATATATAATATGAACATAAAACATTCGATGTTTTGCCGGTGATCGACAAGAAAGCGAAAATTCATGATATACCCCATATACTGATGTGTAAAGCAAACGAATAAGTTCGTAATAAGTAATTGTAGCATCACTTCTGGTCCTGCCCCCACACTCTTTTAAACTGCAAAATTATTTGAAGTATTTTCTCAAGACGGCTCACGAAGCGTATAAACGTATATATAAGTTGTAACATTTTACAATTGTACCACAAACTAATTATCACTCTACACAAATTGACTCTTGCCGGACATTAATGTAAGAAGATATAAACCATTAGTGTTCAGCGTACAACTAAATTCTGCATTTCATTATATTTTACATTCTTCTAAATATTATTTTTAATCATTTGCATAAATATCAAATAAAATCCAAGCGATGTGTGAAAAAAAATTATATATAACGAGCAACGATGGAATATATTTAGGGATATCAAATAAATTTCTATTTGATTGTACAAGTCCCTGATCTCTGTGTTTCTTTTATATTGCTTAAGGTTAATACTTTGGAAAAACTGCAGTTTTTTCAAACTATAATAGATATTTTATACAACCGGACCAGAGATAAAAAATTTAAAAATTACAAAAAAAAATTGTAATGCACGCGGTATACAGCGCAAGCAATAGTTTGACATAGGCTTGCATTAAAAAAGCATAACAAAGTCATTTTCAAACAGAATGAAATTCGATCTTTAAATGCAATACATGCACTTAAACATACTCATCAAGTGGGGGGGGGGCTCAAACCATCTTTGCATCTGCCTATTTAGAACCAGAGAGTTTCTAGTAATCCTGGTTTCCCCTTAAAATGTTATCTAGTCAAGTATATGGTTGTCATAAACATTGAACTTTATTGTTGCATTCGATTTAGTTTCAACAATATTTTTCAACTTGCTTGACAAGTTTGAACATGCAAAATGGGCAGGCAGCACAACATTGTTCCATCCTGGCTAGTATTATTTTAATATCGCTAGTGCGTTTATGGGTAAAGGGGATTTTGCCTTCCTAATATTTTTAAAATGATGAATCAAATGACAAAACATCATGGATAAGTCTACAAGAAAATCGTGTTGAATATATTTCTCTAGGCAAATGATTATTACAAGTAAAATGATTATAACAAGTACAGGTCGTTAGGAGCGTTAGATTATTGCATGTTTATATTGATACATCCTTGACTGTTTTATAAAGTGCACTACATTATGCCCCGTTATAAATTACACTCAATTTATTGGCACGGCACGGCTAAAATTTTATTAGTGTTCAGGATACCAAACCAATAAGCTGGACCATCTGGACACAAATAAAATATTGGTATATGGGTATGTACCAATTTCAACCGTGTCGTGCTGATTAATTGAATACAGTGTAAACAGGGCTTAACCTTTATTATTCTAATTACTCGAGCTAAAGCGAGAGTCTTAAGTTCGGCAAGTTTTTTTTGGCGCAAGACTTAGGTATTCTCCCTCGCGGTCAATCTTAATTTTGGCCAATCGAAATAAATCGTGGACCCATGTGACATATTTGTGACCATCTTATTGGTGCTCAGCGGCATATTTTGTGTACTCGATCTAGTTCATATACATATTTCAAATTTTAATAATATATTATGCCCTGTTTAAAATGTTGGCAGTGCGTGCCAATTTTCTGCTTATATTGATAAAGTTTCTCCGGCTAAAAGTACAAGCAAAAACACTCCTTTAGCTCGAATAAACGCTTGGCGGGCGTCTTTTTGTCTCAAAAAATGCATTAATAGTCATAAAAATCAAAAGTTCAAATGAAAATGTTCAAATGTTATACGTTATCAGAAACCGATCATGAACATCACAACGTGAACATTTATCATCAGGAACTGTGCAACAACAATACCGGCCGAGGAGGTTGCCACTTCGTTTGTCCCTTCGGTACAGTTTAAAGGATTACATTCATTTCCTTCAATCGTGAACAAAGCTGAGTCGGTGTCGGAAGCTACTGAAACATAAATTGATCGTTTCTCTTCGACTCCGGTTAATCGTTTTCTTCTTAAGTCAGTTAAACGGGGAGAAATTACGATAATTTTGTGTATTTGACTGGAAAGTTCGAAGGAAATGTCAGCATCATATTTGTAGGGATGTGGGTTAGTACGAGAAGCATAAACCAGTGTGCCGCCTGTTAGGTCTTTTACATTGATCTCCAAGTTTAAAGATAAGGTTACTTGGTAGCTGAAATACAAGTATGTGTTCTTTTGCACTTTTGTTTTGATAGTCTCGTTGAGTGAGGAAGAACGAGGTTCATAGCACGCTCCGGACGTCATCGTCGCAATAAACGTCTCAAGATCGGAAAAACCCGTCAGAGTATAAACATGCGACTTTGAATTAGCGATCTCCATTAGTTGCGGACGGTTATAATTGGCGATTCCAATAGCGTATATCACAATGTTTTTACTTCTTACATTCTTAGCTGGAAGGGCAACACTGTCAGACGCTATGCCGTCTGTTAGGACTATCAATATGCGAGGCAAACCATCACCATCTGGACGGAGACCCTTTTCCTCCCTAAATTGATCCAGGAGTATTTGATCTAAGGCACTCCCTAGGTATGTGGAACCACCTTTATGCATTACACGACTGATCGCAGTGAGGTAACCCGACTGACTCGTGTATGCTGATAAATAGAAATGTGAGGTATACCAGCTACTGAATGTTGACAAACCGAATCTGGTGCCATCCTCCTTACTTAGTTTTTCATTTGAAAATGCTTTTGTCATGTTTTTTACAAAATCTAGACTTTCTTCGAAATCGGCTTTTGAAACGCTGCCAGATTCATCCAAAAGGAAAACAATGTCCAAAGAGCGATTGCATTTCAGAAGTGTTGCTTCAATTATGTCCGCCTCATTGTTTCGTCTGATTAAGTTCCCTTTTGCTTGCTCTTTCGGATTTCTGTAAAAGTTTCTTAATTCAGCTATCGCTTCTGACCAGTCGTTTTTCGTTACAAAACTCCAGAACTTGGGATAAGCGGAAGGATTTCCAAACTGGTACGAAACGCTCACGATGGCTGTCCGAATGCCGCGAGGAAGTGAAGAAAATTCCTTTGCGCTCTCAGTTTTATCACTGTTGTATCTTTTTGAAACTTCGTTAACAACATCATCTTTAATGGCATTTGTCACTGTATCTGCCTCTGATTGCGTCAGTCGCAAAGGACGTTCATCTGCAGCACAAGCAGCGAGATTTCGTTTTAAGCCGAAGTAAGGGTCAAGTTTGTTGACTAGCGTGCGCGACAATAAAGTGAAAGACGAACTGGACTTGCTTCCAAGATCGACACCGGCTCCAATAGTAACGCCACTTTGTCCAAGAACTTCACCAGAGTTAGGGTCAATTGGAACATACCCGCACAAGGTAAAACCTTCATGGCATTTGAGAAATTTCACGTCAATCATAGGCAATGAAGTTTCAATGCCGTTGGGTATTCCAGACTTCCAAGAAGGTGGGCAGTCCAATCGCTGGACATTGCAGTTGGTCGGAACACGAGGATTCCCAATGTAATTTGACGGCCGATATTCTTCTTCACAGGTGTATGGTTCAGCACTAGCTGTGTAAAACACAAAGGCAAAAAAGAGCAAAAGCTTTCGGAAAGACATCGCTATATACTATATAATATTGCAAAAAGTTTGGGCTAAGCATTCGTAAACAGGTATACGCGTTGTTTATATAACAACACATTCGCGGATTGGGCAATAATATAAGGAGCGGTTTCCTGTTATATGGACCATTGCTACTGTAATCGCCCAGCAGGCAATTATTTAGCAAGTAGTTATGACTGAATACGTTTATACATACAACGCCGCTTTCAATGGAAGCAAATTAAAATGAGTCAACTCACATGCAGCTTCATTTCTAAAAAAGTTTGTGAACCACATCATTCCAGACTTTTCGATTTCAAAAAAACAAGTGATAGCTATTATGTTTGCAAATGAATAAAAAAATTCTCCTTTAATGCACACTCATTTAATTGAACATGCTATTACTATGAATGTTAATCAAACTTTTCCTTTCGCTTTCAGGAATATCGTTCCTAATTTTTCTTTCTCCATATATGCATAGAATTTTATTTACAGAAATTTTACAATGATAACGGAATTCTTGAAATTCGTATTTAACGAAAAAATATATCACGAACATACACCTTTGTGCTCATTATCTTCAAATCTGCGCGACACGTCAACTTTCATTTAAATATTTTCAAGAGCTATTTTTAAACACATGCAATCGCATACATATAATTGTTTTATCCTCTATTGATTAGCAAGATAAACTACAGAATGCTGATTGGTTGAAAAAAGTAGACTTAATTTTCATTAACAATATATCGCCTGTACTTATAATGGCAATTTTATTTGCTAAGATGAGTGCTATTAAAGCATTTTGTATGTATCACGACACTTTATTGTTTCCAAATGCAGCATAGTCACCTGAAGTACTGTTAAAATCAGGCCAATTGAAAGAACCGCGGAAATTTTGTTAACATATAGCTACGAAGATGCCAGCTTTTTCATTCGTAGGAAATGGTTGTTTTAAAAGCCACCCAAAGCAGCCTTTTCCAATAAGACATATCCAAGGATATATAATGTCTGTAGAGAAGATTGACATGGTGGTGGTGCACCTAACAGCTATAACTATACATTATCGGGAAGCTGTGAAGGGAAAGTCTCGGTTTCTCTAAAAACATTGAAGCCGCTTGTTTATAAATTCCTAATCTGTCTGCACAAAGTTACTGACAAGCAGATTGCCCTATGGCTATATGGAGAAATTTTAAAGTGGCCGCAGATAGATAGATAGATAGATACTCGAAGTCTAATTAGAATTGCATATTAATACATTTGCATGGGATCTCAATCATATTACACAACATATACAATTCTAATTAGATTTCGGGTATCTATCTATATATCTATCTGCGGCCAACGTTTTTGCAAACGGGTGTATATATATATATATATATATATATATATATATATATATATATATATATATATATATATATATATATATATATATACATATATTACACCCAACTACATATTCGTGTAATAATATATTACCGACAAGTTATTTATCACCTAGCTGCATGTAATAACATGTTTTTCCATGTATTATTAGCATGATAAAATTACTGAATGCTGATTGGTTGCAAGCAGGAAATGTTATTAAAGTAATTGTACTGCAATACAATGATTTTCACAAAAAAAAGAAATGGAGTACAAAAAACGAGACAACCGTGGAGTAATTAAAGTTCCTTCACACGCTACCTGACCCGCTCGTTACGACATTTTTGTTTGCCGTCATGGAGTAACTAAGGATTGTCTCGCGTGTGGTATTTCTTTGTTTTGCAAGCGCGACGTCGAGCTGGCCGCGTCGTGAATCTTAAACTCCCCAGTATTAGCTAACTAAAGGTAGCATGTCTCAAAACACGCGGACACTATTTTAAATTCATCTATTGTTAGAATTTGAATAGTGTAGCAGAAAATTACTTGTTATTGTTTTAACTTTGAATGACTTAGCACTTAGCTGAACGCAAACACGCATGCGTGAAACGACTTATTACAATGAAATCTATGGAGTAAAAACACAACATCATATATAATATGAACATAAAACATTCGATGTTTTGTGATCGAAAAGAAAGCGAAAATTCATGATATACCCCATATATGTGTGTAAAGCGAACGAATAAGTTCGTAATAAGTAATTGTAGCATCATTTCTGGTCCTGCCCCCACACTCTTTTAAACTGGAAAATTATTTAAAGTATTTTCTCAAGACGGCTCACGAAGCGTATAAACGTATATAAGTTGTAACATTTTACAATTGTACCACAAACTAATTATCACTCTACACAAATTGACTCCTGCCGGACATTAATGTAAGATATAAACCATTAGTGTTCAGGGTACAACTAAATTCTCCATTTTATTATATTTTACATTCTTATAAATATTATTTTTAATCATTTGCATAAATATCTAATAAAATCCAAGCGATGTGTGATAAAAAATTATATATAACGAGCAAATATGCAATAGCTATATTTAGGGATATTAAATGAATTTCTATTGGATTGTACAAGTCCCTGATCTCTGTGTTTCTTTTATATTGCTTAAGGTTAATACTTTGCAAAAACTGCAGTTTTTGAAACTATAATATATATTCTATACAACCGGACTATAGGGATAACCTTATCTTCCATTCCATAATTATGATGAGCATTTAAATATACGAGATTGTATATAATACTTTATTTCGGTGATCAAAAAACGGTTGTATTTTATTCCTCTACGGAGATTCAGTCATTTTGGACCAGAGGTAGTTCCATTGAGTCTTGCAACCGCATCAGGTATTGCGGTGTCCGCTCCACGTCAGAGTGTCAATTCTTCTTTACACAATGGTGCGATTTACGTGTTTCCTATTTCAGGTGATTCGAAACCTCATCAATAATCTAGTAGCAGAGAACTCGCATTAGTGAGATATTAAAGTCCAATTGCAGGTTTATATGACCAGATGTAGTATCTGTCGTTTCCACCCATTCGCAGTGAAGATCGAGGAATAACACCCCCAAAATATGGCAGGCTGCACAAAACCATTATGTAGAGAGAGAGAGAGAGATTACAATTTCGCCAAAATTTTTCTTTTAACTAATTGGCTAGTATTTAAATCCAATGTTTTCGGCTTGAGCAGCATAGTACCGCTTGCGCTTTCGATCATTTCATACAGAAAGCGCCATAGAAATTGTCAAATTATTAATAATAGTAGTACCAATAAGGCCTACTACAGTACGCTAATCATAAACAATTGGATACACCGCATGGTGAAAAGTTCCCAATCGCCATTCGCATTAAATAACGCCACAAATCAGGAGCAATGTTGATATAACTGGTCTATCAACTGGTGGCGAAATACTTCAAGCTTTTCCTCCCTTTGAAACACTTCGTCTTCGATACACATATGTCTCAGTACTGTAGTATAATAAGAGAAAACCGCGGTGTGAACTTTCCCCTTGTATACTGCGAGTCTGCGAGACTGGAAGAACAAGAAATTCTCCACCATGCTAACTCCAGTATGTTGGATACAGATGGGGAGAAAACACTCCTCCGATATTGAGACCAGGAGGATCAAAATTGTGCGACGAGTGGTTGACATGATCACCACCACACTCGAAATCATTGGGTCGTTTCCTTTACCAAATGATTGAATCAGATTTGGGTTGACCGTAGCCATGTGAACGTTGGAGTCTGACCGCGATATAAGATTATCGATAGCAAAGTCTGAAGTGAATTCGCTAGGCCCTATCAACGATTCGGTTGAAAAGTCGGTAAACATCTGATTGCTTGATTGGGATATATTAGCCGTGTCGTGCACGGTGGTTGTAGAACGTGGTAATGTCTGGGTGGCAGAACTTGAGCTCACGGAAAACGCATCATTGCTTCCGACTAAGGAAAGAGCTGAGAAATTCGAAAAGCTTTGTGGTGGCGCGCTGCTCGATGGAACACTGGAGTTTGTTAGAGTTGTCGGGTGTGTTAATGTGAAAGTATTTTGGATAACTGGTTGATTGACTGGAGTGTTCATCACAACGATATCATTACTCGGTTGTTGACGTCCAATTAGCGACTCTGCAGAAAAGCTTGTAAGATGCCCTGTTCCAGAACCCTGGTGCCGTGTATGCGACGTCTGGTTACCCGTCAAGGCATCAATACTGTATGGTAATTGCGAAATATTGTCTTGTACTTGGTTCGGTCGTACTTGCTGCGTAAATCCTCTTTCAAATGAAGTAGGAGCTAGAGTAGATTGCTGTGAAAACTGGGCAATGGTGTTCGCATTGGCGACACTTGAAACCATGGTGGTTTGAGTTAGCGGTGCAAAACTTGGTTGGACAGGGGCGTTCACAGAAGGTTCCCGGCTTGCGAGGGTCACTTTAGTTATGTCACTTGCTGAAGTGGACATATGTGATGATCTCGAAGTTTGTGGTAACCCACTACCAAGTACTGTTTCGGTTAGGTTATGCCTTCTGTGGGCATTGGGTGTTCTAGTCGTTGGTACGCACATGCCGCCTCTTGGTGTGTTCGATGACTGAGTCGAAACAACCATATTCTTATTCATCGAACCGGCTGTTGCGAGCCTGTCGTAAGTTTTACTTCTAGAGTTTGACGCAGTCTGCTGATTGTTCGCGCTCGATAATATGGATGTGACTGAAAGCCGATTAGTTATACTTGAATTATTCGATATCGGTGTTAAATCAGGAGCACCTGGTACCAAGTTCGCGCCTGCGGTGTTGAATCTGTCGCTTGCGTGCATGCAGAAGAACACGTTTGGGTATTGGAGTTTCTTGATGAAGATGTTGCTCTCATCGTTGTCGTAATTACGGATGCATCACTCCATGTACTTGGTAATGTTACTTTGTTATCATGAATGAGTTGTGATAAACGTTTGTTCTCCTCCTCGAGTTTGTTCACCTTGTTTTTCAGCTCTGATACTTCTTGTTCTAGAAAGATAAATCTACATTAGTAATCCTTTTTTCCAAGACAGACGTCACGCAAAAGTTAGCATGCCTAGTTTTTTACGGCAAAATCACTACAAATTAATATGTCATGTCTTTCTCGCAGCTATACATACTGGGATAGAAACGATGCAACGGGCTACTACTACTACTGCAACTATCTCGCTAATCTAGATGATTAGACTACCTGTGTTGAAATGCTTAGCAACAGTTGGTTTCGCAAGAATTATGCTCTTGAACGGAAGTAGCCTTTTTGATTTTCGTTCACTCCATTTGAACAAGATGCATTTTCAACGATCATATAATTTACATCGTTCTTTACAACACCGTGCATGGTGTACGACAAATCATCACAGCTTGACTTAACGTCGCTAAACTGCGAAAGACAGTCTTCCAGGAAGTATTGCGTCTTCCCAATCGCCTTCCTCAAAAATATTTGCAACCCAGTCGCTCTCTTCTTGATTTTCACATTTTCCAAATGGCCATCAGTTCTGTTGATATAACTGTACGTCATCACTGATAAGAACGAATTTAGATTTTTTTTGCTGGTTCCGTTCAATCTTAGTCGTTTAATACAGACTTCAGAGAGAATATGATGATCTTCAAGCCTTGACCACCTTCGATGTTTCTTCAGTGTCCGCCATTTGATAACAAATATCCATAATCTTAATGGATTGTGAATTACATAAAAGATTATGTGATTATAATATGCGGCTTTGTGGTAATCAAATTAAAGTATTTCTTAGCGTGCTTAACTGTTCAATATTTTAATTGTAGAGCATTGTCCAGTGACAGCCCGGAAGCTAAGTATATTCTCATTGGGCTGTTAATGTTTGCTAAAATGCAAGCTTATATAATATCATATGTACAGTATTTATTAATTAATACAGTATTATCTTTACTTTCTGAGATAAACGTCGCCATGGAAAACTCGCGTATTAACTGGTTTGGTGAAGAAAATTACATATTCTTCAAATACCAGTAATCTTGACAGTGCATGAGTACAATATATCATGAACTGTAAAATAATCACACGCATAAGGGCAATATAGAAGGGCCATAAAAATTATGTTCTACAGTAGCTATACCACACCTACAGTAATATATGAAAGTAGTGAAAATCAACCAGATACAACAGTATAAATTTGGATTTCAATGGCGATTCGTATAAATCACGCTAATAATTAACTATACCTCGGGTGGAAAAAGCTATCGCGGTAAATCTATTACCAAAATATCTCTTAAACCGTTCAAATCATCACTCTAAGTTTGATCATAGTCAACGAAAGACATTTATCACAGGCGCTGTACGAGCAACGAGCACAAGTAACTGTTATAAAGTAGCTAAAAACTACTCTAACGATCAGTTAGAATTGAAAAGAAAGAGAACAATGCACGCGACATGCAGCGCAAAAGTTTGACATATGTTTGTACAGTAGCTATATAAAAAAAACCGTTAAGTAAAAGGGTAAAAGGTTTTCCCCAGTGTTCGAAGAAAAAACTGGTTAATGAGAGAAACCGAAACAAAAGATATCCGTATTACTCCTGAAGATATCGAAAATGCCTGATTAATTTCATCAAAAGTGCATCATATAGGTTTCAAGTGCCTTTCCATAATTTTCTTTTACGATATCAGGCAATGGATCGTCGATTACTTTCACGCATGTGCAGCTACTGTACGTACAGGTCTATTGTACATATTTCAGCCGAATGAAGCAAGAATATGTCTAGGATGACAGGTCATGGAAAATATAATAGGCTTTTACGAAGACGCGGAAGTCATATTACTAAATCTCGACGATAAAGGATGATTCCTGCACAGAACAGTTCAGGCACAGAGTACCAAGCACGGGTTAAAGGATGAGTTGAAGGTAAGTACATGTACCACTGCTAATATTTAACCAATGAACTACAAATGGTGGTGTCTGGACTCTGGAGCAAAAACGTGCTTTGGAAAGTCGTGTCGCTTTATACCACGTTTCCCCAAAACGATGTACCATTGAACCAATTGTGTATAACATAAAATCGTAATGTCACTGTAAAGTAAACACACGAAACTTCGGAATACAAAATGAAAAACTGTCAACATACCCAGTAATTGCTTGCTTAGCTTCAGCTCACTGAATTCTGTGCTAATGCCATTAAGTTCTTTAATATATTCACAAGCTGTCTCTAACACATAATTCTTGCTCTAAAAACATACATCATATCAATGTACTAAATAACTTAATACATTCGGCGGAAACATCTACGTACGGGATAATATTTAACCGGCTGTAAGCAGGATCTCTTACAAGCTTGGGTGAAGGCAATAGATTTTTTATCGAAAGAACAAGCGCGGAAAAAATCTTAAAACTTGAATCTCTATAAAACAGTGTTTAGGACGATGTTTTCTCATTGAGACTATTCCAAAGTAATTCACCGGATTATGACTACTTCAAAACGTAATCAGTTTACTGACTTCCAAACTTCAACAAGAAAAAGGAAAATTAAAAAAAGCAGGATTTCTCTGCTTAGTTTTATCATAGTTCTATTAACCGCGGTTTTATCTAAACTGTCCCGATTTCTCCAACAAATTTCGCATGTCAAATTTCCCGTATAATTTGTCGCATAAGTACATGTTCAAGAGCACATTCTCAGGTTTGGTCGAAATGGCGTATTGTTCAATACTAAAGTAATGTGAATCATCGTCAATGTACGAATCGTCCGAGATACAGCCTTTCCTAAACAAACAGCGAACACTTTTTTACCTTTTGGTGTATATATAAACGAGTTTTAAAGTGTTAGTTTTAGAAGTGAGGCATATTTATTATAGGGAAAGATAGAGGTTCGTTCTCAGTTTGCTCGCATGTCAAGTGTAGCCTCTACGCTATTGCCTGTTATAGAACTCATTTTGATAATCTGAAAATTATCCGTATACAATTTTGCAACTTTCTTCCTTTAATGGATGTGCACAAGTGGACAGATAGGAATGCTGCGATGTCCACATGCCTTTATCCACTTATTCTCATCCATCAAAGAAAGAAAAATGCACCTGAAATCATGGCAAAAATTGCAATTGCAGACAGGCATTGACAGCTTTTTTTCAATTTCCAAAAGTCCAAAAACTAATTTTTGCCTAAACCTCAAGCTTTATTGTGGAGATGTATTGAAGGCAACTCTTTGTCCACCTGAGGAGGTTTTTTCATTGTAAATTTACCTGTTTAGTAACACGATGTCTTGGCAAAAGGTCTGCAAGTTTCTTTATCCAATTAGTGATTTTATCTTTCCTCCGTTTTTCAACTAAAAAAATTTAGACAATTATTATTCAGATGCATACACTAAACAAGACACAAAGCTTGTGTGTACCTAAATAAATATTCAAAATGCATCATCTTTGGAATGAAAAGATTGTGAAACAATTGAAGCAAGTGAAATTAGTACCAGTACAAAAAACAGTATACATGAATAAAATATGTACCTTCATTGTGAACAATTCTCCTTCTGTTCTGCTGTGCGATACCACCACTGAAAAGCAAGGCAAAAATCAAATTAGGCAATCAAGCCAACTGCCTCTAACCATAGACAATCCAGAAGCCAATCTTCTGGATTGTCTATGTTCAAACTGGCCTTTTGAGTCATATTACAGTTCCTATTTTAGTACCCCTAAATACACAGATAAATTGCTTAGAAATTCTGCATTTATTTTAGAATATTTAAAATTTTTATAGTTTATAGTAATACGTGTATCTGAGATATTTTTTTTATGAAAGACTCATTTCCAAGGTTCCAAAGGAATCAAATTTCAAAAAGTCCCTGAGATTGGACTGGGACTGAGGAATTAAACAAACACTGTGCTTACATCAGTTTGCCTAATCAAGAAGTTTTTGCTGTAAAATACAGAAATTAGGTTTCTAAAGAATTACTTTTTAATTTTTTTTTCTTTCAGTTTTTACAATTCATTAGTGTAGATTTGTTTCTCCACTAAATTTTTGGGCTCATACATCTACATTGTAAAATATAGGCCTTAAATACTAAACTTTTCCTATCAAACACAAACACTAAAAAAGTTGGGCAACAACTACTTGCCTTAGAACTATATCAGATGATATATAATAGGGTGTTTGTGTGTTGTTTGGTGTTGCAAAACGGAAGGAAAGCATGCTGGTTGGAACCGGGTTGCTGGGGGTTGATGAAGCTGTTGTTGTTAGAGTATTACCTAAATGAAAATGAACAATTACATAATGTAAAAAGTGAAAAAAGGTGAGTTATTTAAGTGCCCTAAGTGGATGCTTTGGTTTTGGTATTCTTCCTGATGACTCCCTACTCACTGAGGATTCAAAAAAGCCTTGGGAATGACACAGCCATTTTTAATCTTAGTTTTGACTCTTCAAACTGCATTTGGCTCTGTGCATGTGATGGGGCCTACCAACCCTTATTAAAAACTCAGAGTCTTGGTAAAACCAGGCCTGAACCATCGCCAGTTCAACAGTTCTCTTTAAATTTCAGTAGACCTACCAGGTACCAACATATACCTACCATTGCTAGTGCTTACACAAGCACTATTCTGTGTAGTCATAGTGGTAACTACTTTCTAAAAATAAGATTCTTTAGTATTCCAATGACCACATGCTTCCTGAGAACATTGTAAAACAGAAAATGGTACATAAACTAAAGTAGCTGCGACCAGTCCAGATGTCCATATTAATCGTTGGACTGGCCAATTTAGTCGTGAATAATAGTTGTAATCATAACTTTCTAGTGGTATGTGTCCAGTATCCTTTGTGTATAATATGAAATACTTTCACGATAATAGGCTAATAGTTTTTTAACGTGAAATATTTTCCTGGTAAACAGCACTTTTCTTTCTTCTTGCCAACAAAGTTAGAAATTCAGAAAATGGCATTTCTTGTTTTGATCATGTTAGGAGAAAACCGTTACTAATCAATATTACCAAAAGGCGTAGATGCATTAACCTACGTAGATGTAGGTGACCGAGCAAAATGTAGTACTATAAAATAGCTTCAAATAATTAAAATAATTAAATCAAAGATAAGTTATGACAGAGAGTTCTATGAGGCAAAGTTATTATCTTGCACCAGTTTGATCAAAATGAAGATTCCTATTTCTTCAAGATTTATCAATAACGTTGGGTACTTCATCTTATATGGCATATATTGTCATTCCGAATCATATTGTCTTCATGATATAGGTTTTGTCATTTTACTTTCAAGTACAATCAGTTTCAAAAGAACTTGAGCAAAAATAGGTGCAAACTTTATCTAACGCGAAATTACCAGCTTTTCATGACCCCTCCCCCATTCCGTGTTGTTGATGCGTTGAGCAACATCTAACACATGTGTTAGATGTTCGCAACATTGATTATGGGGCGATAGGGCAGCAAATTACTGCGAACGGCAGTTTATTAGTCTACCTGTCCCAAGACTTTTTGAAACTGATTGTTTGTTTGTGATCTTCATCTCGTCATTCCTAAGATTCACCAGACAATGCAAATCGTAGTGTTATAAGTACAAAAATCGGCACCAGGCTGCCTATCCGAGATGTTCAATCGAAATAGTTCGGTCAATGAATATTGAATACTTCACGCTCAAACAAACTCGACAGTATCGTTCATTTAAACTGACTTAAACTTTAGTAATTGAAGTTTGAATTGAAGTTTTTATCCTTAGACTATCCGTTTACCCTTACCTCACGAGTTACGGAGCGGTTACCTAACTTACCTTACGAAATATTAAGAACAGCTCTTTTCACACTCACTGAAGAAATTGTTGCAGTGCATATCCAAAATGTTAGGCAGATGGAACGATTCGAGAATAGTGGTCATAAACGCCAACAGGCGACTTACAGCACCGAAATGTGTAACGTAAAATTATTATTCAATATAAGATATAAGATACAATCGAAAAACATTGATGTCATCTTCCTTTGCCGTTGTCTTGTAATTCATGTAATTCATGATATTTGCAGCTTGATTACTAGTAAGTCTTAGATATGTTAGACAAAGACTATGGAGTTGGTTTGGGGGACATGTTCTCTGCATGTCTTCAACGTCCCTGTCAGGAAGGCTCTTCGCTGGGCCCCTAATGGCCAAAGGAAAAGAGGCATCCTAAGAAACTTGGGGGCGGACCGTGGTGAATCAACAGGGGTGGACCTGGAACTTTCCGGAGAGATGTGCTGCGGACAGACCACGATGGTGAGGTCTGGTGCCGGCCTTGTCCACGGCAGGAAGTGCGACGAGGATTAAATGAAATGAAATGAATTTTTTTTCAAAAACACATCCGATATGCAACGTTATAAGGCTCTTCAACGAATTATATGAATTATACAAAAGCAAAAGAGGTTGACACTTTTGAGAGGCTTATCTTATTCCAAACCGATTATATCCGTTGCTGCACGCGTCGATTGGAAACTATAATAACCTAATACATGGTGCATATATCAGGAGAAATTCATAGGTTCCTTTGCGTATCTTGGATTTAAATTTAGTATTGCAAAAATGATATTACTTGCTCGTTATTAGAATCAACGTTTAAAAGGCGTGTCCCTACCAGAAAACGTTGCAATTAATGCCCATTTTGATTCGTGGCCGGCTTACATACATATCCTTGTTTCTCTATCTATACCACAGAGTCACAATGTCATTGAACAGTCAGTGTCTAAAATCGTAGCGTTTTACTTCACTGTAATTTCAGCTGAAGAGCTTTTTGAAAATGAACATTCCACATAATTATTTCTCTCGTACGAAAAATACACATCAGGGATCTGTTGCAAAGTGGTTATATTTTAATTGGTTGGATAAGTACAAATTCATGTTGCAGTGAAAATTTTGCTATAGTACAAAGGTCTTTGAGGATAGTTATCGTATGTCGCATGATCAACGTCAGATGACTATTGTCGGTGGTCACTAACTATCGGTGACATATATTGCAAACTTGGCATTTATGAATGACCTTTTGTGCGTAAGTAAAGCTGAAAAATGTGCAAATCGTTCATTGTGACAATTCATTGCATGCAGCGAGTTGGTTTGGATTTTTTCAAAACGTCGCGCATGCGTGTCATTAACCTGCGTTCTTTATGTGTTAATTACAGTGGCAGGCAACTAAACATTTTACAAAGACGACGGAGTGCATTTTCCAACTTGATGTTTCCTTTTATTTTTCCCATCAAGATATGATTAGCAGCTGTTTGAGGCAGTTTCATTTTGTTGATAATCCTTCTAGGAGATGCCCATTTCCCCTTCGTTTGCACACAGATCCACTAGCACAAGGGCACGCGAAATCAGCCTAGAATAAAAACGTTGTGAGTGCAAAAAAGAAAACAACATGTAACCAACTATCTCTTCCATCGGTCATTGGCGGATTAACTTTTAGGCAAAATAAATTACTACAGCTCAAAATCGTTATCGCATTGGTAGATTTTTTATTTAAAAGTATTCTTTAGAAATCCATGACCAATTGCGTTGTTATTAATAAGTCTTTCAATTTATGTTGCCTAACCCTGCGGATCCGCCACTACGGTGTTGGTGTATGCGGGATTTTACCAGGGGCCGCGCAAAATCGTTAAGTAGAGGGGAGGATATATATATATATATATATATTAATATATATATATATATATATATATATATATTTACGTTTAAGTATTATTAGTCTCTTTTGAAATTGATTGTTTTTATGCTAACTGCTAACACGAATATATGAATATAAGCCCCCACCCCAACTTAACGAACTTCCGCGGCCCCTGGATTTTAGTTATGAGTTCATCAACAAATTATTTTATTCGCATGCTCAAGTCATATTTGTATCATTTTGACAAATATTAAAGATACAACAATATATTTTCTTCTGTGTTTAGTTGGACTATTGAAAAGTTTCTCACCTTTTCAATGAGACACATTTCCCCAGGCAGTTTGTATGCCATGCAGACACCTAATTTCTTCAAACAGCATCTGTTCGGACCGCAATCAGCAGCAGTCTTACACGCCCTGCCTTTGTTATTCCTCTTTATCTTTTGAAATCTTCGAGGAAGACATATCCTTTGCGTACTTCGTCTTTGCCTTGCTACCACGTGACCTGCTGGTGTTACCATGACATGACAAAACTCGTTTGGTCCACAATCACTATCAATTTGACATTGCTGCGTTTTATTTTTCTTAGGCAACGTCATTACCCGGGCGGGAATATAGCATATACTCCAGAAATGATGGCAAAGCATGCCTTTTGGGCAAAGAGTTTCCGAACTACATCGTTTTTGTTTCCTGGTTTTCGACGGTGATTTATTTGCAGTTGGTGTGTTTTCAAGACAAATACGAAAGTGAACATGGCAATAAAAATTCGCTCCGCACTCGCTTGTCGTTTCGCATCTTCGGGAATTCCCTGCTTCTCTTCGGACGGTCGCCATTCCTGGCCTTGTGTAACACGTGTGGAAACGTCTATGGCATTGTTCGTTCATTTTACAATCTTTTGACGTGTAACAATACCAGGATGGGCCGTTAGTCGGTGGCTGCCTGTAATTTACTCGTCGCACTGGGAGACATATTCTCCAGAATACGTGGCAATATTCTGCCATTCTGCAATCTGAATCTCGATCTTTTTACTGAGGTCTTCACCGGTGTAACCACTTCGACGGGTTTGATACAAAGTCGATGAAACTCATGACAATATTCGTTTTCGATGCAGTCAGAATCTGACTGACACTTCCTACTTTTTGACATTCTCGTGTTGTCTCAGAGGTTGCACATGTAACCTGGTCCAAACATGGCTTCTGGAAGAGATTAAAAAAAATTGTTACTTTATAAAACGTGGTCCGGGAAGGGTTTGGCAAAGAAAACTTCCAGGTTAATTCAATTTTGGTTTAATTTCCCGTTTAAAGAAAATGTATTTTTCTAGGCCATGAACCTACAGTTTTTGCATCAATTGTTTCGGTTGGCAAACGGATGAATATTCGAGAAAAATATTGCGAATCGCCTAGAATAATTTATTTATACTATATTTAAATCAGCAGTTGATTTAAAAAAACGATATAATACGTAAAACTGTTCTTTTTATTGATGCTCGAACATTAATTTGTTATTGAAACAATTAAGGAGGGTTTTTTTAGTGACCAATCAAACTTCATCGTATTTCTAAGTAATTCTGCAATTATTCAAAGAACAAAAGGACTTTCTGGGTGTCTGGAATATTTTTTGAATTCTACAATGAATTGCTCAGTTGATGGAGTACTTATATACTTTTTTGATGGAGTAATTATATGGGATGAAATAACCCATGAATTTTTCACCATTCATTATAAGCTTTGTTTTAAATAGTAGTTTTTACTGACCGGTTGAACTATTGACCCAACTATAGGTTGGCATGTCTTAGCGAATATTATCCAATTAATGTGCACGAAATATTTTGTGACGTCTCAAAATGCATACTCAAAGTAGGAAAATTTAATGTACAGTTATACAAACTGCAACAATTAAACGTTAGGTTGTTGTCAGGCTTCGCTGTAGATACTCCAGAAGTGCAGGAATTGAGAATGAAAAATGCAAAGAATCTTCTGGGGGGTTCTCCATTCAGACCACACCCAAGACCCCCCATCCTTCTTTTTAAAACACTTATGTGCTTGCACAGGATTAAGGAAAAAATGCTCTATCAACTTTGCATGCCTTTCTTAAAGTGACATTTCCTATATTGCAGCTCTTTATTTTTCCTGAAAAGGCGGCCCTAGTTCAGAGATGTGAAGAATTAGATTCATGTATTCAGTAATCAGATTATTAAAACCTAAGTCAGAGAACGCAACAAATTCGTAGTCTCGACAGGATTGCGAACTTAGCCCTGCAATTATAATCTGCATGAAGAAAGCTGGCTGAACCCGGCGAAAAAATTCTTTATACACATTCACAAACCGAGGCGCTGGTGAATCTCAATATCATATAACAAGCAAATTCAATGATTAATTTATTCGACGATAGTGAGAGACTACGATAGTGGCGGCGTCTTGAATCATAGTTACCGGAATGCACTGGTTGTATCGATATGTTACGGATTTCGTAATTGACGGGTAGGAAATGGTGGCGGATAGGACTGGGTGAAAAGAGAAAATATTTCGTGCGCGTAACATGACGACAGTGCCAATGCATTTTGATGTTTTCGAGGGCCTGAAAATCAGATATGTGGCGAAAAATCGTCTTTATATCGTTTAACTGATAAAACTAGGAAAATACAAAAAAAACTTGCAAAAAGATAACCCTTTAAGTGCCTGAAGGCCGTTTTGTCTTAAGTATTTGTAATTGGAAAATAAGAAATTTTCGCACGCTTTTTAAAAAAAATGCTGGACGCGCTGGAGACTGGTGACCAAAGCGTGAATGAACTTTGGTAACGCGGATGGCATCATGTGGTTATCTCACGCGGATGGCGTCAGCAGCCAAAATACCTAGAATATCGGGATTCATCCCACAAGTTTCGACAAATCAGGAACAAAAATAGAATTTGAACGAATAATATAATCCATTGTTTAGAAATGTGTAACCCACGTTTGCGATTCTTTTTTTTTAATTCACGGATGAAATAACGAATAAGTGTTTGTATACGCCCCATTCTTAGTTTTATATTAGTGCTGAATACCTCGGTGAATGCCCAAATTTACATGGATCTCAACTATTTCGTGCGTAGACGCACGTATGATTAACGTTATAAGTGGATTTAGACAACTTGAATAATACACAAATATTTTTTTTTTCACTTCAATTTAATGCGCGAAGCGATGTTTTTTTGCTAATGACTTTCGTGCAAGTTTTTAATAGACTTTATTCAGATTTAATATATATTAGGAATACAGGCTAGGTCATCATTGATAAAATCATATGTATACATATCATGTAGCAAAGTTAAAATAAATTTAACGGTCCTTCGTTAACGCTGTCCCGCAACATGTTCAATCTCAGCTCGTCTTCATCATTGGTAGAAAGAACTGTTGAACTAGCTTAAGTTATATGCGGAAAATTCAATCTGTTTTTCATCTCCATAGTTTCACAATAACAGTATTGGTACATGAGAAGTTCGACGTTTAAAACAGGCTATATTAAATCGTTTAAGCGCATTTGTTTCAGATTAGGCCACTTGTGATTTTCACGTTGGATACACCTAGCTTTGAATAGCAGGGTTGACAGAAGGGGTTAAAATGACAATCGATAAAACGCATCCAAATCTCCACATGAATGTGCTGAGTTTTTCCTGCTAGACAATTATTCTTGGGCTGGATTAAACAGATAAGGACGTCATATAGTGTTTCCCATCAATGTGCCCTTCTGGCCATATTTACCCAATTCAATTGACTCATTAAAGTTTCAATATGTGAACTCTACGGTCCCTACCATGCATGTCCTGTGGTGTAGCAGATGATGGTTAATCCCTTGTCACGATATAGAGCAATCACATATAGAGTTGATATTTATTTGTTGCATTGTCATCAATGTCATGCATATTATGTCGTTACATGTAATGACGTAGTCCCACATCTGATAACAGTGGCCTGAACTTAGCTAACTTACAGGCCAGACAAGCCAGCGCTGCATCGCTTCATCGCTTCATCGCTTCATAATAAACCACTTTCTCTAACTTGCGCGATTGCCCGAAAATTGCGCCACCCATGCGTGCACCGATGCACCCTTCTGTCACGCACCGTATGCTGAATACGAGCGCTATTAAGGCGTAAATGATGTCTCCAACTTGTAAATGTTTCATTTTTTAAAACTGTTCATGCCACGGTGTTATTTAGTAATAATATGCGGGTGTGTTTTCAAACCACAGGACACACTATGCACACCCGCTTTCCCGCAGAGATAAATGCGCAATGGTATGTTTAATGCACGCGCAATTAAGCATAGATTAAGCTTCTAATTTGTAGATGTTTGTTTATGGCATATATTTAATACTGAGCAGATGCATCTTCAGACTTGACGTCGAGGGAAAGATATGGAATTCATAAAATAGGTTAAATAATAAAGGAGGTGCCGCGGTGTGGTTGCATGGAGGTTAATTGAAACATTAACTGCATGCATGGTTGTCCAGAATGAACAAAAATTGTGAACACTACACTATGGCTAGAAAACAAATAATTATGATCTAATGATTAACATCTTGGAACCCAATATATATGCCTAATGTATCTTTGGTCGATCGGACAAACAGCATAGCGGCAGGTTTGCAGGCGACTAAGGGCCTCCACTGACTAGGGATTTTGTTGTCGATAACTATTTGTGATCGACAACTAAATAAGTCCGATAAAGGATTCCACACACTGGCGCTCAAATACTGATTTAGCAACCGAAATAGCGCGGAGATTAAAAGTAGTCAACAACTAAAACAAAAGTTTTCATACAATAGAAAAACGCCAAAAAATGAGGCCGTCGACGACTAATAATTTTAGTTGCCGACAACTTGCGCGACACACTACGCTTTTTAGTTGTCGATAACTCTTAGTTGTCAATCACAAATAGTTGTCGACAAGTCAACTATAAATCCCTACACCGGCAGTCTGTGGGGACCTAAGAGTAAATAACCTTCATGTGAGGAAAGTACCGACCATTACTTTCACTGAGACGCGCAAACACGCGTGATTTAGCCCGTAGCACTGTGAAATGCATAACTGGTTAAAATCGAAGACTAATTTTCAAATCCGCGACAGAATCGTGTAAAGCACAGCTGGATTTCCACTTGCATATCGCTCGCGAAATACTTGGCTGTTCTAAATCTAAAAGAAATATGCAAATATTTCTCCAGCGAACCATATTTCTGCAAGTGGAAATCCAGCCTAAGGATTAATGGTAACTGAGTGCATGCTACCCGAAATCGATCGATCCAAAAAAATAGTATCTTCTGCAATGATCGTGATATGGGCAGAATGAATGTATCAAAACGTTTTGTAGCAAAGCTGTGTCGCTTCCACGTAACAGAAATTGTGAGTGCGTTCATTACTGGTGTATACCCTATGTTTTGTAGTGTACGAGCTGTCTCAAAGTTTGTATTGATACGACCATGACGTATTAAGGTCGGACCATAGTCTTATTCGTAAATCATAACGCATTCCAATCTCGTCCCCTAAGCCTTGGCAGAACAGAATGGCTTGTACTGTATATAAGAATATTTCATTAACCGTACAACCGGACAAATAAGTCTCCTGAGATGTACAAGCATTCACGCAATAATTAGTGATTAACCTATATAAAGATGGTTGATGGTCAATAACTTTGTGGATTGAAGTCCATCTTAAAGACTCCATTTATTCCACAGGCGAATGGCGAATGACTGTTTTAATAAAGAACGACTTATTATAAATACATGCCGATGCCAGTATAGAATTACGGCTAAGGAGAATAGGTTGGCTAAGTAGCTCGAAGACTTGTGAATGAAAGGAAAGGGAGAGTTTGTCCAGACCAAAAAATCGCTTTTTAACACTCAACCTAATAAGGAAATATTGCCTTAATTCACG